AAAACGGGGTCTTCAAGAGTCATGGGCCCGAACCCTTTTAGGATTTTCTTAGTCTCACTGAGTCCTACTTATAGCCAAAATATGGAGTCAAACGGCGTCCGACAGTTGGATAGGTTCCCTCGTAAGTTTAAACATCGAAAGGCCATTAATCTCTAATCATAAATTAGTTTTCTTTTAAGCTCTGTTAAATATGCCGGATAAAGTACAAGCTTCCCATAAAAAGTACCGCTCGATCATCGTTCAGTACCCCGACCGCTATATCGATAGCAAAATCGAAATTACCGTACGGTAACCGGGGTCAAAGTTCGGTTTACCGACTGTATAACCAACGGTACTGTCCGGTATTTCGTTATTATGAACAAGCAGAACGGGAGTTGGAATCTTCTTCAATTTTCTTTCTTTTTGTTGAGCGTTTGTAAGCGCAGCGAGGCTCACAATGGAGAGAAATTTGTCTCGGGTCGATGAACTTCGACGAGTCTATCTGATCTAAAAGAAAAGTTTAATCTTAAAAAAAACATCAAGTTTTTGGAATTTGTCTGTGTTTCTTATATGTACTGACGGGTGCGAAACAAAACGGTGAATGTATAAAGACGGTTACCGTGCGGTACTCTCTAAAAAAAATAGGTTTATTACGAAACCTAAAAGGGTATAGAGAAGTGCAACCATTTCGAAACCGTTTTAGGTTTCGTATGAATCCCTTTTGGATTTCGTACTTCGACTACGAAATTTTTATGTTTATCCAAAACCGTAAAAGGTTTCGTAGTCGAAGTACGCAATCCAAAAGGGATTCATACGAAACCTAAAACGGTTTCGAAATGGTTGCACTTCTCTATACCCTTTTAGGTTTCGTAATAAACCTATTTTTTTAGAAAGTATGCCGACGGTAATTGGCTGAACTGCCGATAATTGGCGGTATTTCATAAAAAGCTCGACATGGGTTATATCAAGTGTAACTCTATCAAGAATTGTGACGTTAATAATTTTTCTGTTTTAGCCGGCGGCCGAACAGAAAGACAAATGAGTGATGAAGGCAGAGGTTAGCAATCGAATAAGAAATTCTAATACTTGTGTCTATCAGCTGTATTAAATTAAATGAATGAGAATTTCAACGCGTTTATTCAACGCATATAAACCGGCTAAATACCGGTAATAAATCGGTAACTCAAAGACTAGCCATACTCCATAAGCACTCTCTGCAACTAAAATATTGGAATTTTTTTATTTGAAAGTATCAGCTGCAATGTAAACTGCCTTTTTTCTCTCACTATTTTTAAATCAGGTTCACGTAGGATGCCTTCGGACGCCGCTCATAAAAATAAACGTAATCAACATCTGCTAGACGATAGCGATGGTTCGAGTGAGAAGAACAATAGATCATTGAGTGAGTGTGTTTATCGATTGTTTTTTATCTGAAGTAATTGTAATTACTATTTTTCCATCTGCATACTTAGACTTGATATTGGATTTTTCTAGGTTACGAAGATCAATCATTTGGTTCTCGTGGAATAAGAGACAAAAGAAATACGAGGAAAGACCAAGAGAATAATGATGAAATCGCTGAGTTTGCAAAGTCAGAGATCAATAATCGAGATAGAAAAAACGGCAAGGACAGCAGAAAACCATCAGAGTCGAACTCACATCAAAATTTGGGACGAATGACACGGCGAACATCAAGTGATGGTGGATCGCTCGGAAAAGTCAGTAGATCATATATGGATTTGGATAGTCCTACGGGAGATGAAGATGATGGGGAGCCATCAGACACAAGTTTAAAAACAGGCATGCCTCCTACGGTGAGATTTTTTCTCTCAACTGAGAACACTTGGTATCGTACCGAATAATTTCGACATTTTAGAGTAGAAAATCACGCATGTCAAGAGATTCTTTTAATGAATCAAAAGCGGATCATGACAGAAGTCGTCGAAGAAGCAGACGAGATAGTCCAAGATCGAGAAGTGGCGGTGGTAGTGCGAGAATTGGGTATTTTGGTGACAAAAATGGTGATGCAGTGAAAAATGTTACAAAATGTTTGGATTTTTATGATAAAGTTAAAGTATATTTTGACGAAGACATGGCGGCAATACTATTGAAATGCTGTTTATGTTTTGATAATTGTGGAAAAAAATAAATACAAAAAAATGTTAAACCTCGGTTTTAGAGGGCTTTTTTAAGTGCGGGGGCTATGGAGTAACGTGGTTCATTGAAGAAAAAAAAATGTACAAAGGTGACGAAAATTCTGCTACAGTGTCATAAATAATTTGAGAAGGTATTAGTGAGGCTATGTGAAATAGACGCGTAAGCGTGAATTCAAAATGAAACAAAGTTAAACATGTTGCAAACAATGAATTGTCACCCAATTACCCTTGTATTCCACCCGTATATAATTCTTCTTTAACATGAAAGATAATTGTAAATGTAAATTGAATATTTTCTTGCCGATTACTTGTTAACAATGCCGAGTGCTTTTCCCAATAAATTACCAAATATGTTGTATCAGAGGTGGGGGATGGATTATCTTTAACTCCCTCGCCCGGATCGCCTCGCAAATTTCCTCCATCATCGCTCCGTACCTCGCCAAGGTTCAATAAATGTACTTCACAGGGATCGCCCCGTAACCTTTCTGTTTCATCACCGTTTCGCCCACCGTCAATTCTTGATAAAATTTTCCTCTGGCGCTTCTTTATCGATCCTCCTTAGTGCGGAAACTAACATAAGCTAACATAAGCCATTCATTGTTTGATCTTAGTTCAGAAGAACCATCGCCTTTATTATAAAAGTAGATAAAAATAAACATAACATCTTTCGCTCACAAGAAAAAATGTCCTTCGCGGGGTTCGCATCGTGTACTTCTTGCCTCGTTAAGCTTTCAAAAAATCGCTCTGTGAAGAATCGTAGGACCTCGCGAGGATCCTCATCCATCGTCCACCTCTGTGTCGTATTTGTCTGTTATGTGATAATACTAAAACAACTGCTCAACGTCTATTTCCAGACTCGGTAAGAATCATCTAGCTACGTAAAAATACAGCCAGCAATAATGATTACTCTCACTCACCTGTCAGACATACCGACTGCTGATATTTAATTTACACTCGGGAAAATAGAGAGTTAAGAGATAGTTCGAAAGAGAACGTTTTCTAGAATGTATTGTTTGTTTATTCCTATCATTGTGAAATGTCTGAAAAACAATCGATCAAAATACAAATACCTGTATTTGAATACTATTACTCACTTCATCATCAAAAATCAGAATAAAATTAGAATAAAATGTATTTTTTTCTATATAAAATGGCAAATAAGTTAAGTGCGTTTTATTTTCTGATACAACAATTAAAGTGTATAGTAACAGTGTTTAGAAGTCTTACATATGACGATGTTGTTATTTACATACCAAAAGAGATGAAGAATTATTAAAAAAAAAGTAAAATATTCATTCATTATGTCTTTAAAGAAACCATCGGCTTTAGCCAATGCCAGTCATGTTAAGTCATACGATCCAACGACATTATTGAGAAAAAGTGTTGTTCCGCCACCTATCGAACAACCGCATCCTCGATCAACAGAACCTTTACCGGCAGAAACGTTATCGTACTATCCACCATCATTTTCTTATCCATATTACCATACTTATGATCCGTATGATGTGTCAAAGCAACCAAAAAGATTAGATACTATAAATGGTTTACCAGCGTCAACCGTATTAACTGATCCGAATGGTTACATTCCACAACCATTTTACTATTCTCATATACATCCCGAAAATTTTATTCCAGTATACGATCCTAATTTACCATATCAACCATTTCTATTAGATAATACTCTACAGCATCCAATTCAACAGTATCCTCGCCCAATAATACAAGAATTTCAACCAGAAATACACGACATTACGAATGATCCCACTTCAGTTTTACGAAAGACAACAGACGCAGATTTAAGTCGCCTAGAAATATATCACTTTATACCAAAAAGCAATATACCAGTGAGAAATACACAACATGAATTATGGAATGCACCATATCATTCACCCTATACACAACCAGTAACAGTTCGGCCTTCTCTACCTCAAGATTATTATTATCCACCACTTCGTTTCAAAGAAGCTCGTAGTTCACAAACCGATAAAGTTGATACAAAACATCGTGGTGTATCGCCAATTATGTTTAGTAGACAGGATTACTATGATAATCAAGAAGATATGGCTAACCGAAAACGTATAACAGCTTATACTGATCGCTATAGTGTTCCTATTAATCGTATTAATCATCATTCATACCACACACATCGTCCAATTATTCCACGCGATTGCCGATGTCTCGATTGTCAAAAAAACAACGAAAGAATTTTAAATTATGTTGAATAAAGGCAAAAAGCCTTTGTGTTCGTGTTCATCATACATAATCAAAGGCATCAAAATCACAGAAACCTTTTTAAATAATGACTTAACAATGCCATATTTTATTTTTTTATGAGAGTGAACGTTTTGTTTATTCGTTTTTATTTTTTCTGATACGTATTAAAATATTAATGATTTTTTAATCATGATCATGTTAAACAATACACCGTTTCTCTTTTAAGCTAAAATTTTAAATTTATCTTCTTACTTTTACGTTTATCGTGTTTGAGACTAGTAGATCTCAGCTTCAACGACCGGTCACTGTACTATATTTTGAAAAACGTACTATGTACTAATAAATCTTATTTAATAAAGTTGTATGTCCTCTAAAATAAAGTGTACATTAGAGAAGGCTTTACGAAAAGTTTAAGACAACGAAAGGTTTTTGAAAATGGCTCCTAAAAACTCATTAAAATTTGTAGTAAACTAATAGCGTTTGATAGCCATTTTACGAAATCCTTCTCCATTCTTCCAAATATCCAAAATGCTTTATGAACGCGCTTACCAGAGATGTAACCGTTTCAGAATTCTTAGAACGAGAATGGTACCATTCTGAAAATTCTCCAACGGAATGGAACGGTCGTTCTAAATTTTCCATTTTCTCATATTGATAGATTAATTTTAATGAAGAAAAGCTCAAAATGACATTGGTTAAAATGCTTTATAAGAGCAGTCGTTCTAAAGAGTCTTAAGAGAAGGGAAGGGCTTGGCCGTTCGCCATTACCGGTTACAACTCTGTCTCGTAGGCACAGTGTGATGACATTCTTCTAAACATTTCTGAAAGGGTTCTGAAGTGTTAAAAATCTTTTTCGGCTTTTTAGTCTTTTTCGATTACGCTTTTTGATGTTTAACAGTTCGAAACATAAACCTTTTTGGATACTTTGAAGAACAGAAAAGGTTTCTTCTGAAATGGCTATTGAACTCCATTGGTTTACTAGAAATCTGTTTTTTTAGAGTGAGCTAAATCCCCCGACTTTGGAGGTGCTAGCTACTGTTTGGGCGCTGTTTTTATTAAAAAATCGGATTGTTAGGAGATTTGCTCATCAGTGTATAAACAAAGGGTGACTTTATCTTGATGTTCAATATCACACATAGCCAATCAAAAACGGCTTCGATAAATTGTGATATATACATTTTTGAAGAAATGTATTTTATTTTCGTTCAGTATCTGCTATACATGAACCATCAACTTTTTAATGCGAATAATCTGTACGAATTTTATCAATTTACCTAAAGATCATCTATTTTTATCATGAATATTTTTAATAACATTATAATTCCATGGGAAAACATTTCGTGATTACCACATGTCATCTAATAGCATCTATAAGACCTGTAAGAAATCCTGTGCCACATCAAAGCAACTAAAATGGAAAGACTCGTTTGACACTCATTTCTTATCGAACGATGTTGGTTATCTTTCAATAAACGTAGATCAGTATAGTTATATTGGAAAATTCTCAGTTATGAAATGATCTTTCAAAGATCTCGTTCAAATCCTATCTTGAAAAAAGATTTTTAAGCTTATTTTTTTTTCAAGTTTACGTATAAATAATGTGTGCACTAATAGAAAAGAATCAAGTGAATATGTTATAAAAATCCGAAAAATGGATTACGTTTGCATCAATGGACGATTTTATTGTACTTTTTGAGCGGTTAGGAGAAGAATATGTTTTTATGTTGTTGCATAGAATGTAGCAATACTTATAATAACAATATGTAAAGTTTTTTGGCTTTATCAAAAAAAAGGCAAAAGAGAAAAAAACAATCAAATTTTTTTTTGTTACACTGTAGGCTCGCAGATGTTTTAATCAGAGTATGTCTCAATGTTAGTAGATGGCTCTACTCAAATGCCTGAAATAATAATATACACAAAGATTATACATTAGATTCTAACAGGACGAAACAACGAATCATATACGTTTTAAGTCTTAGAATGCATCATATAGAGTGTCAAAGAAAAAGTGAAAAGAACCAGTAGAAACTAAATTATTATGGAATATTCGTCGGTTATATAAAAGTAGTCTTTTTCTTAACAGATGACTCGAGACAATCACCTACCAAATACACTGAAATTCTTTCTTCTAAAAAATTCGTAAGCATTCAAACAATGTACACTTAAAATTATTATTTACAGTAATAAATAAAATCGATTTTTCGATGTGGGAAGTTCCTTGAGTCAAACCCTAAAAATATTCTATTCCGCTTATGTAAAAAATGTCTAAAGTCAGAATCAAAAAAGAAATCAGCATGAACATTGTGTGTTACACAGTGTGTACTCTGATCATGGACGCTAGAACAGACGTTTGGTCTGACTGTGCGTATAAACGATGTAAAATAAACGTAATTTTGTAGCTCTTGACTTTTTGCAGCAAAAATGCATTATCTTAATGATTATTAGAATTTGCACGTCGTCTAATAGTATGTGGATTAATGCTATTTATAAACTTATTGAACATATAATAGTATAGAATATACGACATCTGACTTAGCTTGGCAGAGTTTGTTGTATACAATTTTTTTCGGATATTAATAGATCTTGAATAGGCATACACTGTATTTACACGTACATACTACTTTACTTTTCTTTTCTATCGGATTGATTACAAAGTACAATACATTAAAGTTTTTTACTATTAAGTTTTGTAGAACAAACGTTTTTCTACAGAATGCGGTATGGCGGAACTTTTTCACTCTTTTCTTTTTACCGTAATTACTTGTTGGCAATGAGGTATTAACCGTTCCTGGTATCACTACTGGTCGCAAGACGTTTAGTTACTAAATTATTTTGTGTTACAAAAAGCTTTTTATGAAAAAAACACAAGGTTACAACTGGTAACTACGATGAATATCTTTGTCTCGAATATGTGGGTTTTTTCTTTCACATTGTGGATAGTGCATTAATACTTGCTCAACTTTTAGCTGTACAGAGTTTAGTTTAGCAGTTTTCCTTGAATCCATACGAAACCGCATTGTAAACGATCATCTTTTCAGTCAAAGCTCTCAACACTCACAATAAGGAACAGAAAGCTACTTCTTTTACTTGTTTTCCACATGGAATTTTGATATTAAATAAATTACTGGCCATCGACTATCCGTTTAGCGCAAAAATAGCATTTCAATGACTGTCACAGGACACTTTTATTCGCCAGAAGGTGAACTTCATCAAATTCTTATCATTATCTCTCCATTTTTTACATAAGGATCAAACGTCTAGTGTAGAACATTTTCTATTTGTTCATGTACATCATACGTCCGTCATACCATAAAACTGAAACTAACGCAAATGGTTTATCGTCAATATATGGACAAGTGTTATGTCTGAAGCAATATTACATTATATGATTTTTGGAATAATGTTAGTAATAATTTCAATAAAATTAGGACAGATATAAATAAAAAACCTAGTTGAAGGGGCGTTACAAATTTAATATTCTAAACAAAAATTTAATTTTTTGTGTTCAACATCTGCTTATTTTTATATTTTTGAGTCTATGTCTTATTATTAGCTCACTTATTAATCGGCTTTACTATAATTGGAAAAACAAAAAAAGAGAGGATAGATATGTATGTTTGGAAGTCGCAACTTCAGTAATCACCAAAAACATGAGATTTCCTGTCGGTTCGATATCAATTCAAGTGAATTCATTTCCGCTGAATATCAACAAGCTCTTTTTGAAAAGAATCCTTATACATGAACTGTTGAGAAAAAGGAAGTTTTCATGTTTTGAACGATAGTATTGCATATTTTTTTGACTAAAAACATGATGACGCTATATACTTGTATCGATTATTGAACAGCTAAAGGGCATTTTCTGTTATAAGATTTTCAATTCTTATGAGTTGTATATGAGTAGACTTAGAAACATACGCGGCGAAAGTCTTCGTCTTTTTATTCACTTCCATTTTCAGCATAAGTATGTCACATATAATCAGTTTCTTACACTTTATTGACTAATTTAGCACTATTATATTGACAAACCAGGACATTAGTACGAAAAAAAAGGATGTATTTGACGTAGACACAAAATTTTCTCGTCATACGATAATACAAAAATCTTGATAATATACTTAGATCTAAACCACTTTTGTTCGGTTAACGAGGATTCATTCAAAACTTTCTTTTTCTGCGCGTAAATATAAATACGAAAAAACTCCTACAACCTGCTTCAAAAAGTGTACGAAAACCGCAATACAGTGTGCTATATATACGCGACTGTCTGATAATTAGATGATTAGAAGAAGTTAAAAAATATTTTCTCAGGGTCAGCATGGATTTGAGAAAAGGTATCAGTTATTGGACTCGTTTTATTGTTTAAAAACCACATTATGACCATTATGACGACGAAGACTTTAATTGTTTCTGATATTTGCTAAACAAGAAATTTTTGAATTATCAAGGATGGATATTTCCTCTTGGAGAAAATACCCTGTATATACAGATAATGAAATTCTATGACCATTTAGTGACGGAAGCATTCTCGCTCATACTAAAATTAACTTTCAACGATTACGCCCATACTTCACTCCTTATCTCCATCTGCTCAATACTATAACTTTCATACTTGATTGGTACAAAATGGAGATAGTCAATGATTTTTCGTGATCAGCATATAAGTCAAAAAATAGATCTGTTTTCTATAGGTTATTATCAGTTGAGACAGCAGACGAAGGTGAAAGTGTTACCATTAAAAGGGGCTGATCATTGCAGCAAGGATACGGCACACAGTGGGCATTTTCGGCTTAAGCAGGCGGACATGTGATCTTTTCCATCAAAAACGCTTATTTTTCCTACAAATGATTCTGTATCACTCAGAGAATTACTCTGAAGCGAGAAAAAGGCTTTTTGAAAAATATATTTTCAATCAAAAATCCATGCTCAACTTTTTCTTAGAAAAAGTTCTTTTGTTCAGAAAAGTTTTGTGTTATACATCATTCGATGTAGTTTCACACGCCGTTTCCAAATATAGCCTTATTCTTTTATTAATTTTATTTCCTTATTCTTTTATTAAATTTTGGAAAATGTTGGAACTTCAGTACACTAAAGACAACTCTAAGGAAAATCATCTAATGTGAAAAACAATTTTATTTCTTACAAAGCAAAGATCGAAACTAAAAACTTTTTTTCGCTGTTGTATGCCTAAACGGGTCAAGGAATCATAATCTTTATCGCTTTTAAAAAGAAATTTTAACTAATGCTCCTGTTTTATTAGGTTAATTTTTGACTATGCGTTTTTCCGCGATCCATAGCACTAGGAAGAAAACTTTATGCCATTAAATAGTCCATCGATAGAAGTATATGTTCCACTATCTGAATCCGAAAAAAACGCACTTTCGATTTTCCATTGATTGTCTCCTTAGAGACCCACTGTGCACTATAATATAATGTTGACGAAACTAAATAAGGTATTAGGTGCAGACGAATAGACTATAATAAGGATTAACTGGCAGCTCCTTATCCTTTAGGAACATGATATATTAATCTTGGCACACTCACAGTTCTCTCTCTCTTTCTCTCTCTCTCTCTCTCTCTCTGTTATTTTGTTTTTCAGTTAAAGACATGATTATTAAACATTTCTATTTTTTTTCAGATAGTTTTTCCTACTCAAATATCTATCTTTTTGATTTTTCTATTTCCATTTATATCCAAAACTCGATAATTTTTTCAAAAAAATGTATGTTTTTTTCGTAGATTTGTATGTGCTAAAAGTTTTTTATCATCAAAGAGAAGAAAACTATTTTACACGCTTTTATACTAGTCTCTTATGAATCGCAGGAAATTCCAGACCATCTATATCGATCAAATAAAAAGAAACTTAGTATTTCAAAAGAAGAGAGAAAGAGAGAGAGAGAGAGAGAAGGCAAGACGCATAGCATTAAATACTATTTCGAGCATCAACAAAAAAAAAATTAGATACTTGTTTGAAAAGAAAAATCATTAGACGTTTCGAGTTATTTGCATTATCAAACAGGTATAACTTTATTTCTTCTTTATTATTCTACCTATTGCGTGACAATCGGCTAACCAATAAATTCGAAAGAGAAGGAGTGAAAAACGTTTGATTATTAGTAAGTAAAGGAACAACCTTAGGGACAAAAATATATTTTTCAGAATATTTTAGGTCAGAGAACGGGAGGTGGTGAGTTCACGAACGTAAAAAAGCGAAATTATGACGTTTTTCAGTATTTTTCTTCTTCTCAAATAAATACGATTCTATTCTTGCATGCAAAAGGCGGTTCATTTCTAGATAATAAAGTCTATACTATCAATTTTAGATCAATTCTATCTGTTTCAAATTACTTGGAAAGAATGACTTCTCAAATATCGTTCTTCTACGTGTGTTTTGTTCTTGTTACGCCTATTGTATTTTCATTTTCAACATCCAATACAAATAACAACGAAATTGAACTACCACCATCATCACATGCTCGACCATCATCATCTATTCATGATGAAAATGAATCATTAATTTCATCTCTTAATAATGCATTACAATATCCTGCGTCCGGTGATCAAGAAGATTATGGTAACATGGTTTATTATCCACATACAAAAAAACTTCATTATACACAACCCATCTTACATCTTCAAAAGAAAGCAGCCGATTTTGAACGTATCATTAAACCATGTAATCAAATGCCATTAACCAATCGTGTTAGCGAATATCAAGATTGTGTTCGATCACGGATGATGTTACTTGGTAAACGAAAACGTCGAAATTTATCACAATGATAAATATTGACATTACATACAATACATCAAGCAGCTAGTTAATGTTAATATCTTCTTTTAGTTTCCATACTTTTATTTATTTGTTCAATTGAAATTAAAACAGCAAAAATTAAAAATGAATTTCTATTTTATTACAGTTTCGATATTAGTACTTTTTTTGATAAGAAGTAAGTTGTCATCTATACGGTTATTTGAGAGTAATAGTCGAAATAAATTAATATGTAGTATTCTATTTCTAAAATATGACAGTATTTCTGCTGTACGTTTTCATCTATTTCAATAAAGTAACACATTCTGTTTTCATCTTTAAGTAGTTCACGTATAATGCTGAAGTTGGAAAACTAGAAAGAACTGCACATTCCTGTATATGCCGCTAATTTTGATAGATAAAGAAGATGGACGGATAGTAATATGGCAGACACCTGATTATATAAATAAAATAACGAATTGTTGATTAACATCTAGAGAACTGGTCTTAGTCTTTCTACGTGATTTCAATTAGTTTGTTAGCAAAGTTTCAAGATTTTTATTTTGTCACTATTTATAGTTTGTTTCACATTGATTGAACTGTAGTTATGTTTTATGATGAAACAAGTTGTTTTTTTCAGGTTTAAGCCGCATTAAAGGTATTGGAAACTCATCATCTTTCTATTCAATCATCATTTATTTTATAACTTTGACAAGCAAAAAACAAAAAAAAAGAAGAGATCATTTGTTTCCATTTCTCTTTTTTATTCAGTCTATGGCAAATAATTGCAACATATAGTTCAAATCATTAAGTATAGTCATGCGTGTTCTACTGTCAGTAGGATATTTGATTTGAAATTAATTGGCATCATTTGAAGGTAATTTCTCTTCTATCGTTCGATATTATTTTACATCTAAAACCCATTACTAAAGAAAAAAATATATAGATATTTAGTGTCATTTTTTCCTTCTGTCTAGAAATTCAATATAATAATGCATCAAACTAAAAAAAGAAAAGACGAAAAATAATACAAAAAGAAAAAAACACTGATGATACTACTTAGTCGAGAACACTTTAGAGTTAGTTTCTATCTCTTCCTCTCATTTCCTAATTCATATTATATATCCTTACAATGTTTCTTCCATTATTAATTTGATTGCACTGTGATTTAGCTTTATTACAAGATTACTTCTTCCTTTCAATATCATTTCATGTGAGGCGAAAAATAAATTTTTACTTAAAAAAAAAATTTTTCTTAAAATAAATTATTCAATTAACAACTTCCTCATAGTTAATTTAATCAATATTTTAACTAGAAAAGTCATTTACAGTTTCTTATTTTCGAAAAAATTTATTATCTTTCCATTGATTCTAGTCTATGCGAAAAAGTCACAGATTACTACAATGAAAAAAGAAATTTAACTACATATGACTCTATAACTCTTAACAACTTCAATCATTGTCCAGAATATATGGATACAGAACAAAAATTATGAACTTTTACTATCAATATCAGTTAAAGATTATGTACAAAATCTACATTAGTTACACGTTAATATTTGATTATGTTTTTAATTATGAATTGAATGTTATATTTTGAATTTTTTGTACTACTACTGATGAAAATTTAGCAAATAAATTGAAACATCTAGCTATAAATACTATTTGTAGGAATATAAAAACAATTTTATCTCTATTTTACTACGAAGCTAAGTTTATATGTTTGAATCTCTATTGTACAAAAATTAATTTTGTGTTTTTCGATAGTTTTAGTTTAGAATACTATAATGAAATGTTGTTCTGCTTATATTCTGGAATAATAAAGTTTATCTCAACTATATATTTTTTTGACATTTTTTTTTCTTCTTCTCATTTTATTGTTATTACCATACTAATTCTTAGATCAATATACTTTTTAAACAAATGCACTCGTACAATAGTATTTTTAATTTTATTTTATGAAACAAAGTTGATTAATCTGGTTATTACTTTTTCTTTTCCGTCATTCTTTTATACAATAGAATACTTAATGTCAAAAAAGAAAACATTTTCCGACTATATTTACCTTTCGTATAAAGAACAATAATATATCTTTATTTAGTCTTCGAATAAATGGCATATGAATAGAATATATTGATAGTATGTATAATGGTGGAACATAGTTCAAAATCCGCTTAAAATTGCTACATGATGAACAATAGTTTTTTGTTGTTTTAATAAACATCATCGAATGACAAAAAGAAAAGGTTTGTACAGACCGTCATAGACGTTTGATACTGTATCCAAAACAACAGTTGTATTTACAAGGTATTCTTTTCTATGATGATAATTTTGATGATCTCATCACATAAATGGAAAAGAAATAGACTCAAGTTTATGTACCTGTAATGTGATGTGTCATTTCAAGTTCGTTTTATTCAAAATATTTTTCTTGATCTCAAGATAAAATTATACAAAACTGTGTAAACTTTCAGAGTTGATAAAAAAGTAATGACACTAAGCTATGACATTTTCATCTGACACATAAAATATCTAATAATATTTCTTTAATTACTCAGGCACGAATGTATACTCGTTAAACCGCACAGGTAATCACGTGTGATTTTATTTTACACACGATTCATGCCGATATCAGACCAGTTCTCGCTAGTGGAGCAGTGGTAAACCGGAGGTTTTAACCGGTTATTTACTGGAAAACCGCGAGTCTTGAAGATTGTCAATTTTTCGCTCGTTTTTTTGTAACATTAGCACAAGCGGTTCTTGCCGGTCATGACTGCCGTTGTCTGCGGTTGTCCATAAAGCATTTACGATCACTGCAGTTGCTACTGAAACAACTTCAGAAACGGCGGGTATCGACGGATGGTTTTTTTCTTGGAGAAATAACTTCGGGTCAGTGGGATTGAGTGACAACAACTCATTCACCAATGTGTTTTGCGACACTATTAGTTATATAAGAACACAACTTTTGTGCAGTTGACATATCATTTTGAACTTTTATAATTTCTGTGAAGTATAAGTTTCAATGAATCAGAGAAAATGTTTCTCAGCATATCAGTAACGCTTCCTTTTTAAAAAAAGGCAGTGTACACAGCCAGGTTTCTCTCAACATAGAGAGAAACCAATATTTGTTGTCTTATAAGCAATTCGATTTGTATATTCAATAAAACATTTTATAAAAGTTTAATTAGATGTGTGAATGGATAGTGTAGTAATAAATATTGGTCTATTTGATAAATATATATATATAGATAATGAAGTAAATGTTTTATAATCAACTTTACATCTTTTGCGCGTAACAGACATGATGGAAAATCTAATTACAGTATACATAAGTAACAGTTTTCTCTAAGTCAACATATATTTATTACTATGTAATAAACATTTAGTATTAAAAAATAAATATAAAATAAATCCTTTTTGATTGTTTTATTTTCTCTATTTTTAAAACATGTATAATAATTAAATATTTTTTGTGTTAAAGAAACAAAAAAAATTAATATATTTATTATTAATTCGACATTAATTCTTCAAACAAATCCGAGATTATTGTACGTAATTGAATACATATTCCAGATTTCTAATAACTAGGAAGTAATTAATAGATAATTAGGATATATATAAAAAGCTTGTCAGCATTGCACTAGGGAGTAAAAATGTGAAAACTTTCTTCCTGGATATACGCATGGCAGACACTAAACCGTTCGTGATCTGTCCATTCGTCCGCCAGCGCGTAAGGGGGAAGAGATAACTGAAAATGCAAAAACCTTCAGACTTAGAACTTCGTATTACTTTCTGACTAAGAAAAGTACTGGAAGTTTTCACAAAATCTGCTGATAAGCTTTTAGTTGTGATAAAAAATTGTACTTGTTGGAGTAACTAACAGTGACCAATTACTCAAACTATTAGACAGGAATGTGGATGCTGCTTAAAAGTGATGCGTTAAATTGATAACGTGCTGGAAGCGCAAACTTGTAGCAGAGCTTTTTCCCGTTTTTAAATATGGTTAGATAGAGCACGTCGAACTGATTCGGAAAATATGTATATTAATGTTGAAAAATGTTTTTTTCATGTCAAAAAATTGAAAATACTTTAAAGGCCTAAACTTCACTTCGGTTTCAAAAAACACAAATTGTTTTGTTTCGTTTTTCTAACATTTTAAAAGTGTTTTCTTCAGATTCAATATTAAAAACTGAGTATGAATCTAATGTTTGATCGAGGTTAAAGTCAAAAGTCTATCCAGTATGGACATCTTAGATTCTTTATAAACGAGCTGTAAAAGTACGGATCACTTTTTTTGTTTTGGTTCGCCACTGAGAAAATTCATTTATCCTAGATCAAAAGCGAAAAACCCGTAATTCTCCATTGTCTTCACTAGAACTCATATTTTATGCAATAAAAATATCATATTCGGAATAAGAGCCAAAAACTGAGTAGATTGATATATCAAAAGTTTTCGTTGGTTTCCATTTTTTGTTGAAAATATCAGTAATTTTTCGACGTGAAAATTCAAAAAAGTTTCGTGGTCGGATAGGAGAAAAAAGTATATAAATCGACTCAGTTTTGACGCTAATTCCGAATACGATATTTTTATTGCATAAAATATGATGTCTAGAGAAGACAATTGAGAATCACTAAGATGTCCATACTGGATAGACTTTTGACTTTAACCTCGATCAAACATCAGATTCATACTCAGTTTTTAATGTTGAATCTGAAGAAAACACTTTTAAAATGTTAGAAAAACGAAACAAAACAATTTGTGTTTTTTGAAACCGAAGCAAAGTTTAGGCCTTTAAAGTATTTTCAATTTTTTGACATGAAAAAAACATTTTTCAACATTAATATACATATTTTCTGAATCAGTTCGATGTGCTCTATCTAACCATGTGTAAAAACGGGAAAAAGCTCTGCTACAAGTTTGCGTTTCTGGCACCTTACTCTTGTTCGATTGTAGAACTGTTATCAAAGAGTTTGAAGAGCAATATTTTTAACTCTCTGTATGATTTCATCTATACTGTGATGGTAGTATGGCAGTAGCTCGATATTTGACATCATTACTACTATCATGTGAACAATGGGAATTATTGAGACGACTAAGAAATTCTGGATTAACAACGAGTAGAATAGTGAATGGATTGGAAGAAATTCAACGTATGGAATGTTTATTCTCATTAACGAAAACGTGTGAATCCAATGAATCATCTACTGATGCTACAAATCAATCCAATTCATCATCACCAAGTACTACAGATAACAATGATTTAACAACAGCAAATTCATCCGATAATATCAATGGACACTCATTAAAGAATTCTCACGCTGTTGGTAATCAAAATGAATTCGTTCCACCCATTACAAATTCGGATACAGCTATCATTGTACCATTAGTACAAAGTTCATTTGAAGAGACTCAACAAAATCAACAGTGCCCAGAAGAAAAAAGTACTGGAATCAACAATATGCAGAGAGAACAAGTAAGAAACATCGTTCAACTATTATTGTGTTTCACTATACGATCATTTCACGTTACTCTGCTGAAAACGTAATTTAGATTACGTGTTTTTAATATTTCGTTGTCTTTATATCTTTGAGACAAAATAATTCCTAGAGCTCGCGATTGTCTCATTTTGTTAAGTGCGCTTCATTTTTCGAAATAGCAAAAACAAGCATCTAATTAGATTTTCAACGATGTAACGTGGAATTTTTATTTTCTAGGAAGTATCGAACGATGCGAAACGTATTGATTCATCAACAAGTCTTGATGAGAATAATCTTTCACCTCTATCATTATATTCGGACGACAATTGCTATACTGGAAACAATAATAGACGATCAATTCCTAGGTATTATGATAAATTGCAGTATGTGACATGTTCAAACGCTTCATTCACAGAAATTGACAAAGATGAATTGACTGAATTGCAATTGTTTATGGCGTATGTTGATGCTATTTTGTTCTTTCTAAACGCTATGAGGAATAAATTAATCTTTATTTTTTAGTAAAGGTTTTATTAGTGTTCGTGAAGAAGTCAGTACATTCGTTCGAAAACATTGTTTGCGACCAGCTCAAGTAGCAAAATTAGCTGGTGATTATAGTAGATTCGATTGGTTTCAAGGTTCACATACTATGAATATAGTATGTGTTTTCATTGTGTTTAAGGTGTTAATCAAGCTTATATTTCGAAATTTATGCGTGGTAACTTTTATGAGCTATCCCAAAATGGTTTCAAAGCAATATGTCAATGGTACTTAAAATACCAAAGATCTGTAATCGATATTGGTAACTAATATAATTTAAGGATCTTGAACTATGTAGAAACAACAAAAATTTTCGTTTTCAGCAACAAAAGTAGCATTATGTGTTGATGATACAAGTAAACTCTGCGATGAACAAGTTAGTTCAATGATATTTGAATCAACAGTTGAGAAAGCATCACAAAATATGCCCGTATCATCATTGATTGAATGGCCAAAACGAACAAGATTCACGTTTAAAAAAGACCATTTACAAGTATGCTAATATATCAACTATAAAAATCATTGAGGTTTCAGACACATGTTTCTAGATATTCTTTTACAGATATTAGAATTAGCATTCGCAGAAAATCCTTACCCTGATCCAAGAAAACGTGAAGAACTATCTCAAATATGCAATTTATCCCAACAGAACATGAATAACGAGCGAGAATTAGTCACAGAACAAGTTATCACACATTGGTTTCAAAATAAACGTCGATTAATGAAAAAAGGTAGATATTTCTAATTTTCGAGTTCTATGGTATGATACAATCTCTTATTTGTAGGCCTACGCTGTGATTCACATAATAGCCCAACACAGTTTTATAGCCAACGACGATAAAACGCGAATATGATATCCATTGTCTACCAGTAGATGGTATTAAAACAACATAAAATTAATCAAATTGTGATAATTATTATAATAGACCTTCTGTCATATCTAATGCCGGTAATTTTTTCGCTTCTAGTATTTTTTCATTTTCATTTTTTGTGCCTTTTTTCTCTAAAAAATCATTTTCTATTGAGTCGAATATTTTGTTCTTTTCCCCCATATATCGGTGCTCTATAAAATGTGTAAAACGTAAATATCACTTTGTCAAGAAAAGAAGATAGTTGTATTTATAGCTTATTTTTGGTGACTTTTTATTAATTTTTAATAAATTTCCATATATAGAACAAAACATCCTCTGACATTCCCAACCACAAAAAAAATTGTCTAGTATCGCCCGATTCGTCTAGATTACTAAATTTTTACCCGATTGCAATTAGTTAGTAACGACAATGGAAATGGTAATCGGGCGATTGCTAGATTTCTTCTCAGTTATAACTAACGTTTTATCGCCCGACAATCAATTGATTTAATTATTGCTAGTTGTACATACAGACACATCTAGTTAAAAGTCCCTTTTCCAACTAGTAATCCAACTAGCCGTGCGTCGCTCGATAACAGGCGAAATATATCCCATAGGGGATTTTTGCTTGTGTTGAGTAAGTTCACATTCTTTCAACATGTACATATTCCAAATCTTACCCTCATCAAAAAATTATCACGTGAAACTGAAAGTATTTTTTCTACAAATCAAAACAACAGCTTGAAACAGTAATTTTTTTTTATATTAAACTTGTTCTTGTTTATTAAAAAATAGTTGTATTTAACTTCAACAAACAAACGCAGCTATGCTTGCAGACAAGTCTATGTTGCATAGTGCATAAAACGCTCAACCAAAAACCTAGCAGAATTACATTTTTTTTGTTTTTTGTTGTTGTTTTCTTCTTAAACATGCTATTTGAGTACAATAAAATTAAAAAAAAAATGGACTAATGGATAAGTACATGCCAGTATGCAATCATATGAGATTAGAAGAAGTGGGGAAGGAGGAATAGTGTGGGTTCCGGACTGGAGTACAGGGAAATCAAGAAAAAATATGTTTATCAGTCATGCATAACAAACCGCTCTGTTTGAGCAATAAAGTTAATGACACCTTTAATACGATCTTAATTTCTTCAGGCGATAAAGAATTTTGCAAAAGTAGAGTTTCCAAGTCAAAATTCAAATGAGGCAGATCCAGCTGAAATATCGAGATTAGAGCTAATCGCGCGGTGTCATATAAGGGACATTCAAAAAAATAATGAAAAAGGCTTTCGTCTGTTACATTGTTGCACGAGTAAAAAGGGTCAGAAACCAGACCACGAAGATGCAGGTTCCCCCTCAACTGTGAAAATCCAACTCGACACCGACAATAATCAATGTCGGTGTGTCTATTGCTAGTATACGGTAACTTTGGAATTTCTCTCAGCGATAATAAACTGTTCTTAAACTTTGGTATCCGAAATATCATCCATGTTTCCATTGGTAATTCATTGTATTCTCTCGCTGTTCGATATATCATTGAGTCGTACAACATATTCAAACGACAACGCGGAGTTGGAAGTAGCATCTTCTCGCGACTTCGTAGTGAGTATGAAAAAACAGTAGGAGGATCTGGACGTGATGGCAGCAGAGTTTTTAAGAAAGAAGATGTTTTTCCCGTAACTATTTTTTGAAATAAAGCTAACCTGTGTCACTTAAAAACAACTCGCAACGGCTTCCATTCTAAATCTCTAAACACTCGCGCCTTAGAACTGTGCATCATAGCGCCTGACACCGCTCTTGCAGCTTTGTATTGTGCTGACTCAAGTCGATCAAGATTTCTATCAGATGTATTTCCATATATCGCTGATGCGTAAGTGAACAAGTTTAAAACAAATGACTTGTACGCTAGATCTAATGGCTGTCTAGATAACGCACGTGTATGAAGCTTTAGAAGATCAGTTGAACGACTTCCTTTAGTTAAAACATAATCTACGTGCGCTGTCCAGTCTAGATTTGACCTTAAAATTAAGCCTAACTGTTTTTGTTCAATAACATAAGAGATAGGTGACTTATTGATCAAGGCGGTGGTAGCGAAGCGATATCGCGTTCACGAGTAGAAAAAATCATAGCTTTACATTTATCAATATTTAAATACAATTTCCAAGTTGTAGACCATTCGTAAATTAAGAGTAGATCTTTAATTACTTGGTCTATAAGTTCTCTAATATCGTTTTTCTCCGTAACGCGGTAGAGTGAGGCATCGTCAGCAAACAATCGCATTGTTGCACTAACATTATCACCAAGATCATCAATAAAAATCAAAAACAGTAACGGTCCAAGACCGAGCCTTGGGGCACTCCTCTAGCAACGATTCTTGCTGACGATGTAATACCGTCTACTGTGGTCACAATTTCTCTGTTTGAGAGATAGCTTTCAAACCAATTCACTAAGGACGGTGGTAATCCTTTTGCTTTTAACTTTACTAGTAAACCCTTATGCCAAACGGTGTCAAATGCCTTACGAAAATCTAGAAAAACACTTAAGACTCGTTCACTATTATCAAAAGCTAATAAGATCTCATGAACTATGGCGATCAATTGATTAATAGTAGAATCACCATGCCTAAATCCTGACTGGTTCGTACTTAGAAGGTTGTAATTTGTTAAATATCCATACACTTTCCGATGAATCAAACGCTCAAGTATTTTTGGCAAAACAGGCCGTAAGGTTATAGGACGATAATTATTCACTTCATGAGGATCGCCTGTCTTAAAAATCGATGTAATATAGCCAAGTTTACAAGTTTTAGGAAACTGTTCCTGTTATAGAGATTGATTAAATAAATAGGTTATGATCCGAGTTTTGATAGGTACAGCTTCTCTAACTATTCTCGCTGACAGACCAGACGCACTAGCTCTACTACAATCAATTCTACACAGTAATTCAAAAACTTCACTCTCAAAAATATGAAATTTCGTCATTGAGAATTTGCTAGATGTTGGAACAACTAACGGCACATCATTAACCTCGTTAAGTGTCATTGAGCAAACCATCGTGAAATGTTTGTTTAAAAGCTCAGCCTTTTTTCCCGGATCTATCATTAGTTCTTTTATTAGTAGAAGCCTTCGTAGGACACCATTCGTAACAATGTGCATTAAAATCTCCTAGGAAGACCAAATCAGTATTTTTATAATAATTATTGCTTCTAATTTCAGTTAAAACAGTGTCTAAGTGTACAATAAAATCTCCTATATCAATCCAATAAGGCCGATAACAAGCTGATAACAAAATAGTTTTTGATTTAGTGAATTGAATAGAACAGAAGAGTGTTTCAAAATCTACATTATCAAACTCAGTTAAGTGTTTACACGATAGACTATTCCTTACATAAATTAAGACGCCACCATCTTTTTTTCCCTATTCTATCTCTTCGAACTGGCACCTGAAAACCGTTTAACAATAGTTCTGAGTCAAGAACAGTATCATCTAACCAAGTCTCAGTGATTACTACTACCGCAGGTTTTTCGAGCTCTACTAAACTCGCTAAAATTTCAAATTTTTTGACCGTAATGCGATGTGGTGTAGAAATCGCATTTTTTCTATTGTCAAACGATGCCATTAATCTATTCACATTCAACAGCAGAATCATTTCACCATGCAACTGATTTCTAATACAGAACGTTTTAACCATTATCAATTATCTCATACACTACAGTCTTAGAACGCAAAATATTAGGTCTTGAAAGGAAGGAATTACTTGGTATTATGTTCTGCTTTGAGTTTGATAAAAATATCCTGAATATTTTGAATATTAGTTTCGTCATTTAACTGAAAATAAAAATATTGTTCAATATCTTTGGCTAATGTTGTTTGTGTTTCGTTGATTAGACTTCCTTGTGATTTGTGAGCTGCACACATCCATAGAAGAATAAGATGATAATTTGGATGAAAAGGATTATCATCAAAATTAGTCGATAATTTCCACGTACGATGAAATAAAAATATGGGTGATGTTTTATGTAGTTTCGTCAATGGATATTGTGGATAAATTTGAGTTATCATATTTTTGTACCATAATTCATTCTCTGGAAGTTGTGCTTTGATATCTGTATCGTTTAAATTTGTTCCTGCCAGACTAAATTCACTACCACCGAGAACAATTGGGATTTTGTTCGATGCATGTTTCATATTTGTGTCTAACTTTTGATTCTTCTGTAAAATATCAATGGCGCTTAACGCTAATAATCCTGATGCCGTATGATGGCCATGAGATTCTACATTTGGTAACATAACTAACATAATATCATAGCCAGTTTCGCTATTTCCGGTGCGTATAATATTACATAAATATCTAATAATTAGATCTTTGTCCCATTGTTCGTCAAATACCGACTTGATATCCCGACTATATTTTAAATCTTTTTGTGAAATATAAAAATATTTTCGAACGCCCAATATTTTACCACTTGCTTGTAATTCTTCTTGACGAATTCTTGGTAAATGAGTTCGAGCAATCGTTTCATTAGACAAATTTAGCCCATATATACTTTCACATGGTTGTGAATAACGAAAACCACCTTCACCGTTGGTAACGCAACATAAATCCAACGTCGCTTTCAATTTATGCACCATAGCATGTAAAAATCCAGCATATAATGTTTCATCATCTGGATGTGCAATTACAAGTAAAATAGCCAACGGATTAGCCATTTGTAAAGGGGAAGATGAATACTGTCTTACACAGCTGCTGAAAATACATAAGACAATGCTTCTACAGATAACAAATAGAACAGAATAAATTTTACTTTAATAGAAAACTACAAAAGTAAGTCTGAATTTGTATATTCTTTTTTTGCACTAATAGATAAATTACAAGCCTAATTTAAGCTAAGTAACTGCATAGGATCATGAGTAGATATGTCGGTTCGCTGTTCTAGTTAGAAAGTAAGTTAGAAGAAAGTGATAGTCAGAACGTAGGCAGTTAGTTCACCCCACTCTACTCTATAGATAAAGAGATGTCACTATATATTGATATAAAGAGTATTACACAAAGTTAAGGTAATAAAGTTAGATCTACTGTTGTAGTTTTCTGCGAAAGTAAAAATTTGTTTTGTTGCATTCGTGACCCGTATAAGAATTTGTTAGGTATTTTTAGCTGCTATTAAGAAAATATTCATTCATTCAAAGGTTTATCCTTGGCGTTCTTACGCACAGCTCCTCCCACTATTACATGACTATGCTCATCATGTAAAGCACTATTCAACTATTTTAGTTGCTTTCTGGAATAACGCCACTGTTCGGCAGTTATAATTAAACAAATGTATATGATATGAGCACTACTGTCATAATTATTATTGCTGCATGTTAGTCAAGATAGTCGCGAGAGTTAAGCGCAACGTTCCGCGACTCGTTACTAACTTTTATCGTTTTACTTTATAGTCACTCTGGATAGTTTTTGTGTATTTTTCAAGATTTTCTTTAGTCTATTTTCGTGACTTATATAGTTAAAACTGCATTGCCTCTATTTTGTTACTTTCACTAAGACTTTGAGACTGAGATGCGTCAGAAGAATTTTAAGTCTCAGAAGTTTAACATGACATTAAAGTCTTTAATAGTGTTCACCAGTCTTATTTTCTGACAAAAAGAACAGTAACCTCAGATGTTTTCTTTATTATATCGATGTCTATCTGCTGTGCTTGTTTTTACGAAAAATATTTGATTATGATGTACGATTTATCTAATCAACAATGAAAAGCTCTCAGGCGTGCAAAAAAACAAAGTTCGCGATTCCACTGCCATAATAACTTAGAAATAACTATTGTACGCATTTAGAACATATATGAGAGGTAAATTTTAATTTCCGCACTACAGCATTTACATGAATTTACACAGAGATCAGGAAGTACTTTTTCCAATTAACTGTAGATATTCTTATACACTTATCGATCTAATGAGTATTCAGTCAACATTTTAAAAGTACTTGATAAATAAAAAAGAATTAAAGTACAAAACGCTTTGAAATGTGCACACGTGCTACTACCATTTGTTCTTTTTATTAATTATTGAGCATCGCGTATCTATATGTGAGTACTGCACAATCATCGAGAGTGAAAATATTTTTTATTAGATGTAGACTATGATACTTATTCCATAATATATAGGAGAATTTTTCCGGTGATATTCATAGGATGAAAGTTGTGAATTTACACCAGAGCCCAATAAGATTTCATTTCCTGTTTTTATTTGTTTCAGGTTTGCTCCATGCACGGAAATATTTATTACTCTAAACTATAAAGGGCGTTGTTTTTTGTGAATATCCTCGATCATCTAGCAGAGCCGAAATAAATAAAAACAGTAAATGAAATCCTATTTGGCTCTTGTGTAAATTCACAACTTTCATTCCATGAATATCGTTATCTGACAAATGTTTTCGTCTACTACTGCGCAGTTGTATGATACGAGAATGAGTAATTTTTCTTATATTACTATATGTACTAAAAAGCCTACTAGCCTTTAATTCGGCGAAATTCGGTTTCTATTACATTCCACGTTCAATGTGATCTTTTTCTAGAGCATTCAAGCAAAGCTCAAGAAAAAAAAGATAAGAAAAATCCGTTAGAGCGATAGTATAAATAATGTGCTTCGTTTTCAGGACAAAAAATTTACGAGGAAAAGAAAATTACATTCTTCATGTGTTTTTTTTTTCTTCGTTTGTAGCCAGATGTATAACATGACGCATAGCCTTAAAAAATGCTTTTATTGAAATACGTAAGTTTTTTCTCCTCTTTTTCTCCTTTTTTCACCATTATCAAGGATCTTCTATTACTATTACAAAAAAAAGAGAGAAGGTCGTTTATGTTCCCGTTCCGACCATGAATCTCTGTATTTGTAAAATCGCCCTTTATTAATCAAAAAGCAAGAGGAGAGAAATATCGCGTGATTTTAAATTAGACTTTTTTTACAAAAAGTACACGTGTTTGTGTTGTTGGTTTTCAATGATAATGATACTGTTTACACTGATTATTTTTTGTAAGTAAAAAGATCAATATAAATTAAACAAAAAGATACAGACATCAAGAGAAAATCAAGCGCTAGTCTTTTCTATATTGAGAAATGATGCCGGCATGCCTGTAGGATACAATTGAAACTTAATAACCATTAATGATGACATAATCAGGCAGTGTCAAAGACTTGTTGTAAACCTCACTGATCTATATAGAATTTATACCAAATGTAGATCTATACACTATAAATTTGAAAAAGAAAAGTCCGTGATTTTTTATACACATGCTTTTCTCTAAATCACATACAACTATAGAGTAGAGTGTGTGAAAAATCAGGGATTGACCGAAAGCTTTTGCGTTTAGAAGTACGTCCTAGGCTGTGCTTAATGATATAAGGAATCTTTGTATGTAATTCAGAGAAAAGTATGTGGAAAAAAATTGTGGACTTTTCTTTGTTCAGCTTTATTGCCTTATATTTGTTTTTTTATAAAATTGTTGTTTCCTTCGAAAGTATGGGCATCACACTGTCAATAACGCTAGCGACAGTCCTTAGGGCCATTTTCCTAAATAAAAATTTTGACTGTTATAAACCTTTTGTTTAATATAGCTCTTTTAGCATTAGTTCTGAAGTTTGGAGTTCAAGATTCTTGGTTTCCACTTTAGAAATACAGTTTTTCAAGCTCGATGTAAAGTTTTTACTAAAGTGCCATGTTTGTAGCGCATAAAATCTTCTTCAAACGAAGTCACCATCTAATTTTACACGACTTTTTTTCTCAAAGTTAACATACGAAAGGACGCTAGTTAATTTTTACAGATACTCTTTGAAATCCAATGTCACATCAACTAAGTCCTTGTTTGAATAAGTGAGCAACTATTATTCATTCTTTTTCTTACATCATTACGTAATATAAAGATAAATAATTTACAAACTTTTCATCATAAACATATTTTTATCATATTGTATGAGCAGCTGTTTGCATGAATCAGACAAATAGCAAATCTCATTCTTTCGGGATGAAACCATAACTTTTCTTTCTAATTGGAACGCTGATGACTAATTTCTTCATTCACAGAAAAATGATTAAATAATCTTTTTCTTTATGCAATTTACGCATCTACTGAGTAATTTCTGTTTTCATCTTCAGAATTGAGAAATATAATATGAGAAGAAAAAAATGTATAAAATTACCCATTCCCATTTTTTCTCATCAGCCAACAACGATTGACTTTGTCGTTGTGCCAACTTGAAATGCTTTGCAATAGACAACGGAACAGAATTTCAGATCGTGCTGATATCTTCAATCATTACAATATCTTTAACGCTTCAACGTTCGAGCTAAAGTTTTTTATCATAAAGCTTATTCATATCGGGATTTTAACGATCTGAAAGTTTCGTTTGAACTGGTTATATGATGTAAAAAAAGATTTTTAGAGAAAGATCTCTAAGACAATGAACCTGTACGACACTAATTGACAATATCCAATGTAAAGCGTCAAAACAAACTATATATTATTTCTTTGCTCTCTATTCTGTTTGCATTGTGTCCGTCTATAGAGACTGGTATTATTTTTTTTCTTATAAATAATATAGTCTGCATCTAGAGTTGAATATCGAGAAAACTGCCTTTTTTCTGTACATTATTTCTGTACTTTTTTGCGATTCATTTCTACTGAAGGAGGAAATACCACATTTGTTTTTAATGTAATTGTTTTTTCGCTTACATATCGTAATTTTCTTTTCTATGTCTTTTAGGTTTTGTACATTATGTGTGTGGACGTACTGTACCAAGATTCGATATGCGCGATAAAGATGGCATTATATTCGGTAATTATTCCCTGTTTTCTTTACTGTTAACATAGTGCAGTGAAAAAACCATGAATAGTATATACATCAGATGTTATAATAGTAACTTTTCTACGAGCATTTATGATTTTTTCAGTGCTAATCTTTATCCTATAAATCATCATTCACTTTTTTTCAGATCCAATAGCGCCCAGATCCGGAGAACGTTTTATAGCCAAATGTAGTCTCGTTGGATTAACAGATGATGATAAAAGATCAGTCTGTATTTTGATCAAGTAGTTTTTGTGCGAGACCATGTCGTTTATTGTTTGGTTTTGAATTAAATAGGTCAGTTGGGAATTACATCGTTTCAATGACAATAAAAGGTTTTATTTGGCCACAGATGATCAAGTATTTCAATTTTATCAACCAAAACAACGTTTATTTGCTGAACATGAATTAGATAGTAATAATTGGTATTTAATATTTGACCCATTAGATCGGGAAGATTATGGTGATTTAACATGTAATTTAATATATTCCGTTTCACAAGTATCTTTAGTTTAATTATTTTTGCATATTTATTTCAAGGCATGTTAGCTGATACTGGTTACAATACGAGTGTATTTTTGACACGACGATTGATTGTTTACAGTAAGCTTATTTTATAGATCAATATTTAGGCAATACCTAAAGTGTGTATTTATAATTCAGGTGAACCGCTTGTTGTACAATCTTCAACAAAAGATATTGAAATATCCGAAGGTGATAATGTTGTTTTACAGTGTATAGCACAAGGTCAACCAACGCCTCAAATACAATGGATGAAAGCAGACGCATCACCTCTTCCAGATGGAAATATTCGAACAATTGGAGTAAGTTTTAGGCTGAGAGTTAGATCGAACACAATGGAATTATCTTTCCTTTCCTTCTCAGGCTGTTGAGCTAGCAATTAATGATATTAAACGACAAGATCGTGGCATATATAAATGTTTGGCTGTTAATCTAGTTGGTTTTGGAGATACATGGACATTAAAGCTGAACGTGAAATGTGAGTGAACGATTAACTGGTTATTTCATACTGATTAGTTTAGATTTGCTTTCTTATTTTTTAATAGTTCCGCCCTACATACATTGTCCCTATCCAGAAGTTGGCCAAGCTGTTAATTTTATGGTCGATGTTTATATAGAATGTTACGTTCATGGTTACCCTACACCACGTATTACTTGGTATAAAAACGATTTTGGCGGTATAATAACAGATCAGACAACCGTCGATGTATTAAGACCCATATGGAACTCTTACAAATATAAAATCGAAGCAACAATTCCTGAACCAAATGTTTGTACAGATTGTATTTTATCAAGATTAACCGTCATTAACGTCGAAGCTGGAGATCTTGGACTGTATGTCGTTAATGCAACAACTAATGATAAACCATATTATACAGCTATTGATACTGTCTCCATTTACGGTATAGTTTTGTTGTTCTTTTGTCTATTTAAAGCTATTCGTGACTACCTCGTTTAGAAACTCCTGAATGCCAACAATTTATTACTCATCGTGATAATATTGGATGCCGTAAAATACGCTTTTCAATTAACTCCGTCCGAAGAAACGTTGCTTATCTTAGTTTCGATATTCTTTTTTTACTCTCAAATATCATTTTAAAGTTAGTAACAAGCATTTCTTAGTATTTTTTGTTTTGTATACGATACTACGGTAATATTATCGTTCTTTTTCTACAACAGTAGAATATGAAAAAGTCAGATGACTGCCCACATTGAGTCACTAGTGGAGGGTAAAATGAGAGAAAAGGTACGATGATAGAGTTGTGCGTAATCAGTTTTTCTTTATATAGTCGTAGAATATGTGACTAACGAGTGAATCCCACGTGCCCACTCGCTTTTTCCTTAAAACCTACACAACTGTGGGTAATTTTTGATCATGAATCTGGTATCGGTTTCTGCTGCTAGGCCTTTCTGTGACGGCTCTCTGAAACCCGGGTATCTGACGACCTGTTATGAATTTCCAGTTGAACATATTCTGGCATTGCAAGATTGTAGGGCACGTTAATTTACCTGTGTAGAAAAATTTCCAGAACCAACGAACAAGCATTCGCAGAGATAAAAAGTTTAGGATTCAGAAACGTGAATTAGTTTGGTTCCCCACTGGATTAGAAAGCCAAAAATTACCCACAGTCATTTATCTTTTAAGGAAAAAGTGACCGGACACGTGGGGGGTTCCCTCGTAAGTATGATCTTTTAATTCGTAGACAGTCAATGAATAGTGAACATTCACTGTGCTACGATTTTTCAATTGATATCAGTTAGACATTTAATGTCCGCTCGAAATAATGTCAGTAAACAAGTTCATGGTTAAGTATGTACGTGGTTTTGGAAAGAGAAGTGTAGAAGCAGATTGATTAGAAAGAATCCGAAGTGAAATGTTCATCACGATCAAAATTCCGAAGAAATCACGCAAATTGCTTAACGGAGTACGAAAGCGTCGTAAAAAATAGCCGGAGTAATGAGAAGTTTAATAAAGTCTCTGGAAACAGGTCTCTGCATTTGATCTACAACATTTTCTCATCATGCTTTATGCATGTAACGATATATACACTGACAGTAAAAATTAACAATATCTGTAGGGATACAACAAGGTGTATGATGCCCTTTGGAAATCGAATGCATATGATGAGAAAATGCGGCGGAGATCACAAAGACGCCTCAATTTTGCAGAAATATTTGCGCTATACACGAGAAAACGTCCACGAAAAAGTATTGTAAAAAAAGCCTCGACGTTCACAAAAATTCTTCTAAACAGAAGCGTTAAGTGATAAGCATAGTATTTAAGTACATACTGGAGAGATGAATCGTTTCATTGCATTAGCTTATCTCAGAAACAAATCTTATCGTATACGATAAAGTTGCTGGCAAACCAATCGAATCCAGAGCCTTGTTTTCAGAGATTTAGGAACGGACGCGCGATATGAGCTTACTGACATCATGTGTGGTCTTGGGCAAACCACTTAGTCGAGATTGTTGCCTAAGGTTAATCCACCCTTTTCAAAGTGGAGGAGAATAAACGAAGCAACATATTTTTGCCTTGCTGTCAAAACGAGGTAATAATCGTGATGCTGCTAAGTAACAGAATGTTATGAAAGTACAACCGCATGAGGGTTTTTTCGATTAGCCGATCAACCGAAAAAAACCTCATGGAAAGAATTAGAAATTTTTATAGCAAAATAATACATGAAACACCTGTCTGAGTCTCTAGTAACCGAAATAGCGGTTGTAAAATTACTAAATATAATGAAACACCTGGTTCGTGTGATGATGGTTCTACGGCTGAAGGGCACTCATCCGCTGAACAAGGGAGGGCCCTTCAGCATTTAAAAAATAATTTTTATTATCTAACCCATGAAATAATTTGAAGCGACTAACGCATAGTGGACATATTTGGCTAGAGCAAGCGGAAATGTGGTTTTAAACGACAGATACTAGTGCAAAAAAGATGAAAAATATGTTTTCATAGGTTATCGGCTATGCTCTATCCAACTGTGATCTCAGAATGCATTTCTGAAAACTTTAATTTAATTGGTTTTCGGAAAACCTCGGTTTTGGTCGAAAGTTTTGAGTTTTGTTAGAATAAGGGACAGATGTATCACAGCCACTTGCTAGCTACAAGCCTAGAAGATCTGTGCATCCTAGGGAACTCTGTCCATACCCCGTAACTTTTTGGGACCACTCAGTGAGTGGACAATCCTTGCCCCCCTACGCTTCTCAACAAGCCACCTCGCGTAAAGTGGAAGTCCAAGTACATTCAAAGAGTAACAGCAACAAGTGAACTAGGCCTCGGAAGAGCGGCCTAGCGGTTGCTGTGTACTGTGTACAGAGCCAGAGGGGTGTGATCAATAATGAACCCTCTGGACTAGTCCTCCCAGCTGTACCTTCATTCCTTTGTTACTATTGTGCAGGTTCATGGGAAGTCCTGGCCTTAAGCGTATCCTAATATATGTTGTTTCTGTCCATTACCACTACCTGAGCCATAACCAAACATCATTATCCTAGCTTAAGGTCATTGCGGACGCGTAGTTTAACGTCATTGTAGACAGTTTAACATCGTTCCGGCTCGTGTGATCGTGTTTTAGCATTGCTGAAGGGCCTCATCCGCTGAACGAGGGAGGACCCTTCAGCACTAAAAAATATAATTTTTATTATCTAATAATTTGTAGCGACTAACGATCGTTAGAATGGGTTAAATATAAAAATAATCAAGTATTTCATATTTAACGCATTTAAACGTGTTAAACTCCCAAAGTTAACACGGTCGAACGCGATTTCGAAAAAGAAACCATGAAAATTGCGTTCACACTCGTTTAACTTCATTTATTTCACGGGAATCTTCGTGCACCTAAGGCAAATGAATTATTTTTTCAAGACGAGAGCAATTTTTAGTTCATTTTTTCACAATTTCACATCACCAGTGTTCTCTTTTTGCTACAACTCCCGATTATCGTTATATTTTGTATCGTTCGGACTCGTGTGATCATGTTTTAGCATTGCTGAAGGGCCTCATCCGCTGAACGAGGGAGGACCCTTCGGCACTAAAAAATATAATTTTTATTATCTAATCAGTCATCTGAGATAGTCGTATCTTAATGTGTCAAGGCAAGTATTTAAGATTTTGATGTATTTGCAAGTGTTTTTACCCTCCATTAAGTGACTCTTAATGAGTGCAGATCCGTTCGAGTGCATCCGTCCAGTGCATGTCAATATTGGGCGCGAGACAACATCTTCAATTTTTTCTTTTTATGTTTTTATTTCTCTTGAGTATGAACATTGGTTATTGTAAACTTTTATACTATTGTTATTATTTATGTAATTTTTTACCATTTTTATAATCTTATAAAGAATTTATGACTCATGCTCATTTTGTAAGCAATTTTATTATTAATTATTTTATCATTTTCCGTTTTTCAAGCAAAACTATTTAAAAGTACTCCTCGCTACATAAAAGTACCCTTTATAATCATGAAATGAAAATCTGTTTTTTGGATTAAACAGTTCATAATATAAATCTGATAATCTAATCTAGTTTGAAACGTCAGTACGGCAAGTTGATTGCGAAATAATATAAAGGAAGGATAACGTATTATAAGAATATTTCGAGTACGAATTCTGAAGTTTGTTCGATGTCTTTGGTTTACGTCTAAGGGCAAATAATGCTGTCGAAGGTTATCACCGGAAGCAAATTCGTAAGTACATTAACTATAATTTTATAACTCATTCTCCCATTTCCAGAGGTATACCAGCTCATCCCAACGTTTATCGTTGGATAGAACAAATTAAAAAAGAAGAGTTATCACGATATATTAGAATCTAGCGGTGGATCAACACCTAAAAAGCGAGGAAACGAGAGTGAACATAACGATTTTTCTTGATGTTTGAAAAAACACTCGAAACTTGGAGAAAAAAAATTTCTGTCGTTTGATGGAAGGACTTGAGACAAAAAAAGAACAGTGTGATGACTCTACGTTTCATTTTATATATATGATGATTTATACTATAATACTAAACGCGCTTAATTTGTATATTATACTTTGAAATATAGGTTATGCAATATAGGTTTTATATAAGGTGCTGTGAGTGAAAATAAGAGACTCGATATACACACACTTAAGAATGGATGTGTAGAGAAAACTTAAATTTCCAGCCAAGACATATTTTCTCCTCCAACACTTTCAATCATGACTGGCGTTTCGTTAAAAACATATCAGACTAAAACTTTAAAATTTAGATAAAACTGTCCATCAAACAAGACAGTCTTTCATGTCACTATTTTGCATGATCTTTCTTTCTGATCTTGATCTTTTATTCTCTATAAATATTGTGTGCGGGGATTTAAGAACTACACATCTGTTGTTTTCTGACAACGATTGAATAACACGTAATAAAAAATGATCATTGAGAAAGTGGAAGTTGTGGAAATTGGTCGACGAACGAAAACAGTTTTAAATTTTTGGAAGATACTAAATAGAGAAAAAGAAAAATCTAGATCAGAAGTCGGAGCAAATTATATCGATAATGTTTTTGATCAAACTACTTCTGAGAAGTCACATCCTTCAAAATCTGAAGAAAGTGTGAAGAAGTTGTACATCATTGAGCAGATGTACGATAATGGAACAGCAGCACCAACAAAGACACCCACAGAAAGAAACTATGCTGAAATATCGGGCGAGAATCAATTTTTGGTCGTTAAACTAATAAAAAAGCAAGTCTCTATTCGCGAGTAAAAGTGATCACGCACAGTGGGACAGTGGAAACAGGAGGCAGCGTTAAACGAAGTCTAAAACATAAGAATTCAGGCCCAAAACAAATGATTTTCAACGCCGCGGTGATTTTCTTGGTCGGTCAACTTAAGAGTGAGCTTCCATTAAAAGCGAGTCTCGCTGCCTAAACATGTGTCCTAAATCATTTTCCTGTCAGTTCCAACTCGTCAAAAGATCCATCTCTTTGCTATTTCCCTCTAGTGAGTTCTACCATGCCTGTGGCAATAGCTAAGAATTGCTACTTTTATGAACGTATCTTACTTCTGATTCGTCCGTTTCAGTAATGGAAATTATTTGTAGAAAATCCATCAGTTTTTCTATAAATATGAAAATCCTTCTTGATTTTCCAGATTCTTAAAAATCAACATTTTCTATATAGTTGGAAAATCGATGAGATTTTTCATAAAATTGAAAATAATTCAGGATTACAGTGTGGCATTTTGCATACAAAATTTCCTTTCCGTTTTGAGAAAATACACCTGAATCACTGTTTCTCTCATTGCATTGTTAAGGTCAAATATTATACCGTCGATTTAGACTTTAAATGGAGTTGATATGTGGAAACTGGTGAAAGAAAAGCTCAAAGACAACTGCGTTCACTTGTGTTGTCGCTCAACATTTATTTTCAAAAGAAGAAATATTATCTGGTGCATTGATTTATGACGAGTGAGTTTCATCTCAAGACAACAAACAATATATTGAATACGATTACATATTTCCCCTTAGAATGTGTTAACATTGGATATGGATACATAGAAAGTCAATTAGCTACATAATTTGAGAAAATCAGAAATACTTTAAAACAAATGGCTGGAGACGTGAGAAACAGGAAATGCAATGCATCATCTGTTGTGGTGCACAATGATGATATGCACAATTTTCTACTTGAAAAGCTTGGATGTTACCAAGTTTTTTTGTTTAGATGGTAAACCTGATGATGATGCAGATTCGGAAGGCGAGCGAGACGAAGAAGGGGAAGAAAGCGAAGAAAAGGAGAATGATATTGAGGATCGTGGTAGTGTTACTGGTTAAGGGAGAATATTATTTAGAATACATAAAAGTGTTTGCTCTAAAACTGGTTTTTATTGTTAAATCTTGTATTTTTCCTATGCGTGCTACATATATCATAGATTTTTCATAATAGATAGTTTTTGTATTATTATCTTTAACGTATGATTATGTAGGCTGACACAAAATAAACACGCATGATGTACTGAAAAAAATAGTTTACTTGTTTAAATGTGAGATTGATACAACTGTTGTTTCGATGTTTGTTTTGCAATTCCTCAGTTGTTTCGGATGTAACAAAGCTAAGAGAATGCTACTTCTCGAAATAAAGTTGGCATAATTTTGTGAGAGTGCACATACATAATTTATGTTTTAGAAATTTATGCACTTTTTCGGTGTAGAAAACGAAGACAAGAGTGTTCTTCTCACAGAAACCTTCATGGATTATTTGTGTTTAAGGTTGACTTGTTCACCAACACATAATTGCCTGAAATGATTAAAATTTGATTCATCCTTGTTGATTGGTTAATTACTAGACCTCGGTCTATCTATTTATTGTAAACTTCCGACGACATTTGCGCTTAATTTTTTCACACTGTACATTACGTTGTTGTTTTCTCTAAAATGATTTTGTTACGACTGCTCTTTCACAATATGCGCATTTAAGCCAAAAAATAAAAAACTGTTGGCCTGGGTGTCCTAACACTAGAAATACCAGTTCCGACCTCCCACAAATCCATAGATCAACTGCGTTCATCGCTTATATTATCCAGCCATTTTGTCGTTAACCACTCCATTTTATATATCATTCGATAGAGAATTTCATGAGCTACAAAATTATATATGAAATGTTGAGATCAAATTGGGCCACTATAAATACTACTGGAGAGTGATGTTTTCGGCATCGACAGATAGGCTAAGCCCATATAAAACCAACCACCATTTACACCCCTTTGACGTTAGTGGCGAAACTTACCTCATATTATAGAGCTAAGCAAGCTAAACCGAATGATGAAAACCGCAAGTGAGTGAACCTATGGATGTACACCTTACTTGTGAGAATTCTTGTTTAAAATACTAATTGTGTTGTGCCATTCATTCGGATAATAATTAATATATATTTCATTCGTTCCATATTTCAACTATTCCTACCGTTCGAAAGATGACGACCGGTGTCATCCGTCTTTGCCTGATGTAAGTTGTGTATGCCCAGGTAAACAAAAAATTACTGCAGACGACCGTCATAACTAGTCCGAAATGTTCGTATATCTCGTCAGGACTAGTCTGGAACGTCCCTTTCCCTCGTCAAGACTAGTCCAGTTTTTAACAAATGTCCGTTTAACCCATCTAGACTAGTCTGGAGTGTCTCTTCGACCCGTCATGACTAGTCTGTTTTGTCCGTTATACCCGTCTAGATTAGTCCAAAGAAAACAAAGATGACATGAATAATTCCATAGTCTTAGTTCGAATCATTATACCGTCTGCACAAAGCAACTGACACCCGGGCCAGACGGACGTCTGGTACATTGTTGTAGTCAAATACGATTGTGCCCGTCAGCAGGTGCTTTCTGATTAGCCTTTTGGGAAAATAATGTGTGGTTTAGTTATGCATAGAAGTATGTCGCATTTTGTAGAGCGCATAATTCTCTATAAGATAGAGTAATTTACAATGTTATCAATGGTAAGCTTTATGAAGAAACTTAGACACCAAATGTAGCCGGTAGCAAGAAATTGGAAAAATTGTTCTAATAATTTCAATTTTTCCACCAGAAAGATGTGAGTTTGAAACTGAAGCTAAGTGATATCTGGAATCCACCTGAAAACCGAATTGATCCATGCATATTGCAGGGATTTTTGAGCAAAGAATTTTTTCGAAAACTTTCCGCTTGGTTCAAACATGCAACCATGGACTAACATTTTTAAAAAAAGTTTTTTTCCTCAAAACTACTTATTCGGAAGTTACGATAAGATTTCAATGAAGTCCTAAATTTTTCAAAGTATTCTTCATGTATACTAAAAACTAGCATGCAGAAACTGATAGATAAGCTGATGGCGCAATGGCTCAGTTGGTTCAATCGCAGGTATGTAAAAGAAAATGACGCATGTTCGCTTCTAACGCATGTGCATAAATGTTGCCATCAGCTTCCACTTAGTGAAGTAAAAAAAGTCCAAATAATCTACTATGACAAATTTTTCATTGAAATATATTTTGTATCTCTACTCTACTTTTAAAGATGGCTTTTGGAACAAAGGGCACATTGAGTAAAAGAAGGCTTCTTCTAATCGCTTTCAAGTAGTGATAAGCTCTAACTATGACCATTCCATCTAAAATGTTTTCATGAATGCACTTGTGGTTTTACTTGAGAGATAAGCATTTAGAAGTAAATTTACCATTGCGATTCTAAACAAACGGCGTTCAGAAATATTACGAAAAAAAAAGTGACAGGGACTATGCCAAAGCTGATCGAAAAATGACCATAGTACACTTTGTATTACCATAGTGAATAGTGTCCTTTCTGAATCACTTTTTAGTCTGTCTATTTTTTGACGGCATTCTTTATTAAAGTATTTGTTAAACTATTCATTCATAAGCGTCACGGTGACATTGTTAGGTGACCACAAAGAATTGTAATTTTGAAAAGTTTTTGGTAAATCGTTTAACAACGAGGATGTTATGAAAATATATCGCCGTGTTGAAGAAGAAGTTGATGTGCGTCAGAAATTCTAGTGAGACGAGATATCTAGCATCCTATGACAACATTTTTTTTCTAAAGTCAATATCTTTGTGATACTTTCCAAAAATTGTCTTGATCAACTGGAAAAATGGGTGAATTGTTGTCACCTGCTTTTATTGATGATACATTAGAATGAGTGACCTCTTGTCAGAGAAGAATTGTTTTCTTTCTGCTGATTGATGTTCTATATTAGAGAGAGATCGCAATTTCTTCATTTATTTATTAATGAACTTTAAATGCATACAAGTGCGCTAAAAGTGAATAAATCAAATATTGCAACTCAATCTTGAATAAGTAAAGTTTCTGATTTTAAGAGCAGTTAAAATTGATCTAATGTGTTATTTGATGACAACGTACATATAAATCGTTCGTAAAATGTTTGGCAAAGCGAAGGACATTTGCGCACAACATAGTGAAGACGAGATAGTTCAAGTCACTTATAATATTATTTGTTATATAATGTTAATGAATTTTATGATTGTAAAAGATTCTATTCTGTAATTCTTCTGTCAAAAGATATTTAAATATGAATATATTTGTTAGAAAATTTAGATTTTTTTATTAGTCTTTTACACTTTTATGACTAATTCGCCCATTCCTAAAATGATTTCTCCAATCGCTATTCATAATAAAATATATTTATTCATAAAGATAAATTCTTATATTCCATAAAAAGACAATGTAACAATAATAAGACTTAATAGAATTGAATTTGCGAATGTGCTAATTTTATCTCCTTGATTACAAAAGTCCTGTCCACAACAATAAATTTGAATATTAGCTGTACTAGTCGTTGCCGGACATTGGAATAGGGAACCTTTATTGATTAATTTTGTCGTATCTAAAGTCATCACTGTTTTCTAAAAATATATTGAGAACAACAGGTACAAATATCGAGAAGATTTGACAAAGTTGCAATTACATACCATACACACAGCACCATAATTAGTATTATTAATTCGCGCAGCATAAGGATACGAGGTGTAAAACGGTTCCGGGCAATCAGTACATTCCCAACATTGTATCGATAACGAATGTTTAAAGCCTTTAAAAATATGTTAAATGAACGTATCGTATCTTTGATTATATCTTTATTCTATTCTCTCTTTTCTCATTTGTGAAGAATATAAACATGATCGGAAAATCACTCTAAACGTTCTTAAGTATATCATATTGTTTGGGATACAATTCTTCGATTCAGATTAACAATAGGATACGATAACAGTTGACTTGTTTTTAAGCGTCCGAATCTTCAACGTGAATTAAATTAGTCAAAAATTTGATGTATAACTTACTTTGCAGTACAATTATAAGCAATATGAGGTAACAGTTCATGTTGTGATCCTAAATATGTTCAAATTCTTGTTTTTTCGAAATATTCTTTTCAATTTATTGTTGCCAAAATATGTACAATGTACAGTAGTGGTTAAACATATTTATATAAGACGACAAAACAATTTAAAAAACATACAAAAAAACATTAATCAATATTTTTTCTAAGATGATACTGTTATTGAGATATATGTGTGCTGATGATGATTCAATTGCCTACACAGTCAGAAATAGTCTTTTCAATTTCACTATCAAACATAAGAAGATGATGTCCTTGTACTACTCATCAGAATAAATAACAAATATTCATATTGTACTTTTTTACGTATATTTACTTTATAAATAATTAATTACTAAGAGTCGTTTTCTTCTTAATATAATATCTACTAAAGGACTCTACACCAAAACAGTTTTACTCGAATAACTGCAAAAATTTCATTATCTAGAGGTATAATGTTGAAAATAGCTATTGTATTCATTATTTTATGTCAATGTAAGTATCATCATAAGTATTAACAATTGAAGAAAATGATCATTACTTCCTGATATAAGCGCATCTTCGTTAGTTCATTCAATTCAGATCTTTTAATATTGAAAAAGCGATATTTTTAATTTTTTTTAGTTATATTCATTTGTGATGGACTTAAATGTAATGCATGTTCGGTATGTCAAAATTCAATTATAACGTCCTTAACATCATCTAGTTCGTCCGGTTCTACAGTTGAAACAACAAACGGTCAAGATGTTTGTATTGTAAGTAATTTCTCGATGAAAACGAACATCTTCAAATCTTTCCATGTATTTTTTCTCTTTCTATTTTCAGAGAACAAACATTCAAATAAATGGAATGTCGCACGTAAACAAAGGTGCCACTGCCGCATCTAAGTGTCATCAATATTCTAGTTCAACTATACAAGTTTTTTGCTGTACACAAGATTATTGCAACTAATTAATTTGAAAAAAATTTTCTTTCATAACATTCTTCTAACCGTTGTAATGAACTACTTTAATAAATGTTACTAATGAAATTCAATTCTATTGAGATAATGAAACGGGGATACCAGTTTAGCTTTATGTGCACCAGGATTTTCAATACAGCCTATTCTTTGTTAAAAGCGGATCCATATCATACACATATCGATCATTGAACAATTGGCCAATGATACTAGACGTTTCAAGTTGTTTCATTAAGGACTTTCGACAAGAGAAAAGTGTTCAAGAAGGAATTCTGTTAGTCTATTTAATTTGATAGATATGTTAAATTAATAATATTTAGAATAGATCACGTCATATTCTATTTAATAAAGTGAAGGTTGAATATCGATAGCAGACTATTGAAAATAGTATAATTATCCTTTGTTAAATAAATTAATAAATGTATGTATACAAAAAATATATAATATATTTGACTATTATCATACCTTCCAATTGAAATAAAAAAAAATTGATTCATACATTTTTTTCATATTTATTTAGTAAAATTTCAGAAGAAGTTTTCGAATAGAGTAATAGAGACATACTTGTCAAAGAAAAAAACACACACACAGGGTATTGACAATGATCAGTTTTCTGCTAATTCCTGTTCTTTTATTCCAAAGTAAGATCATATTAAAATACTTCTCATAAGTTATATAAAACAACACGAAAGTTATTGTCAGCTAAAACTGAGGTACTGAAAAATAACAACAATTGTATTTTCTTTCATATTTTAGTTATACACACTTCTACGGCAATTCAATGTTATCTCTGTACTGACTGCCCTGATCCATTTAATTCCGGTTTTCCCTACGTTACTACGATAACGAACGTGAATTATGGAGCGTCTTGTATGGTAAGGAACAAAGAGAAGCGGTACAGTTCCGTTCGGCGAGAAGCGACGAAATAGAATATTTACAAGTCTTTCTTATGTAATTGAAGCCATTGAGAAAAATTTCATCGGTTAGAGTATCTTACAGGCGTTGATTGGCAGATACAAGACGATTGTATGTTAGGTTCCCTTCTGGATTGGCGAACTATTTCGGAACTTTCTCGCATATGGCAGTCGATAGTATCCCCCCTAGTATCAGCATACACCAGCAAGTATAGGGCGATACTTCTCAAAGATGTTGAACTCTTCATGGATTTGAACTATTCTCTCATTTCGAGTAAAAACGTTTATGAAAGACAAGTAAGAATCTCAAAACAGGCGATGGATGAGCGTATTCAAAGATTAAAAACAGCTAGCTGTTCCCTGTTATAGAGAGTTTATTTCAATCGAGTTTAGTAATGAAAATATTGATCTCGATAAATTGAATTTTCAGAATTACTCAGTCGTTATTAGTTTCAGTTGGATTTTTTTTTGAGATCAAGCAACCTTTCCAAATGTATCTGCTCGTGAGTCAAGTGTGGCATGATTCACAGTTCACAGTCGAAAGGCGTCTACAAAATCAGCTTTCAGCTTCTGAGTAATCCTTTGTGTGAACAGCGTTTCGTTCTAAATAATGACAACGAAAACATTGTCTTCAATTGTTTCCACCTTTCTACTGGAATCATTCTTCAAGATTTTCATAGAAAGCGTCCATGTTTACATTGATTCTGTAATCTCAATTGTTTTTGAAACGAAAGACTTGCGACTAGGTAATTGTCGGTACCAGTACTTGCATGGTATCGAGCGTTCAGTACCAACCATTGAAACCGTACCGAAAGTACCTATGCAGTCGGTACAGCGAAAATAGTACTGGTACCGGTACCGAAGTACCGACAATTACCTACTTGCGATCAAGATCAAGAGCACCGATGACTGAAAAGTATTTCAAATAACAGATCGGATCAAAGGATCTTTCAGATATTATCTCTATTTATTATCAATGGGAAAAGCGCAAGAACAGGTGCAAAGAGCAAACTATGAAGGGAATAATCGTCACATCCCATGTTGTCGAAACCGGACGAAAAATGGCGGTTAACCACCGGTTTCGATAACAGAGGATGGCAAGCTGTCAAATCAGAATTAGATTTGTTGTCAAGATGAACCTGTCATCTTTGTGGCGAGAACAGAAGTCACTGTTTCGATCACTTCCTCTAAATGAATCAAAGTAATCAAACATAACTCATTATTTGTAGGAAAGAAAGGCACTAGACTTTCTTGTATATCTGCTGAAAATTTTGTGGGGTATTTAGTGGACTTAAATGAAGGAGGAGATGTTGTAGATAATTGTAGTCTATTCACAAAGTTCTACACTTGATATTTGGCTATTGTCTCTTTTATACCTTTGTGTAACGACCAGAAGCAACACTTATTTACTACGTAAATATCTAAAGCATTATTAAACTCTGTCTTCTTTTCTTGTTTTAGAAAACCGTCATGCGTGTTCCTAGCGGCACTGTGATCGCCCGCGGTACTTCATTTAATTGCGTGTCGCAATCAACAAGCGATGCTCGAGTGTTGTGTTGTGGAACTGATTTATGCAATAGTTCGAAACCATTATTATTAATGCAAAAATGGATATTGTTAAACATAGCACTTTCTGGTTATTTATTTATGAACATGCACTAGTGTAACAATATAATATGAAAAAAATGCTTGCAATATTATTCAAGTTTATTCTCGAACTAATCGTGAAAAATAAATTGTTTTCTTTCAGAAACATATTGTGCATCAGAGCTGATCACCTGCATTGTAAACTACCTGAAACCTGCAGGCAGTGCAGGCAGGTTACAGTTTGCAGGTGAATGAAAAAATTTTCCACTAACGGCCGGCAGATAAAGAAGAATGTTTTCCTGCCTGCACTCCCTGCAGGAGAGAAGATTTTACCTGCATTCACTGCAGTGAAAGACGAGTAGAGAGCAAAAAGAGAGAGGAGACCAGACTTCCCAGATGGTCCGCATTTTACGGACAAATTCCGCATTTTGGAGTTTTTTCCGCATTTTGTCCACTGTCCGCTATTTGTCCGCATTTTGAGAATTGTCTGCTTTAGCTGTTTTTCCCCTGTTTACGTATAACATTTAAAAAAGAATGTCTATTTATTGAGGATTCTCTTTCTCATCCTATTGTCAAACCAACACCATCTCCAAACGTTCACAAATTAGTTTCGTTTATATTTTCCATTCCGTGCAGTAATTCATACGTCGAAAGTGCATTTTCTTCCATGAAACATCTATTTAACGATAAAAGAAATCGTATGTCGATAGAAATGATTGCAGTTGAGTTAAAAATTCGCTTGAACTCATCGTTATCATGCACTGAAATTTATAATTATTTCTTATCAACGCAAGATCTGCTTAAACTTATTGATTCTAATCAAAAATATACAGTCAACAACGTGTCAACTAAAATCGGGACTTACATTTCTGTTTGTTTTTCTCTTGTGTTTTATTGAATAAAACCACAAAGTGCTAAAGAAAACATTTTTTTGACTCTGTGCCGGCAGAGTTGCCAGCTCAGGCACCACAATCAATGCCAATACGGCAGAAAATCGCGTCGATTATGGCACACCAGCAGGCAACTCTGTGATTGTGCGTGAAAACGAATGAAGTTAGACCATGAAAATGTGTTTCCGCTTTTTGTCCGCATTCTGAGAAAAATTTTCCGCAAGTTTCCGCATTCTGAGATTTTTATTCCGCATTTCTCACCTGAGGATCTGGGAACTCTGATATGAACTTCCGCCGTCATACACTGTATGCGACCAAAAGAAATCAGGGTTGAGAATTTGATCTGGCCAGTCAGTTGGAATCCGTATCAATCTCACAGAAAAAGATACCAATGAGGAGAAGAAGAAAAAACCAAATTTACGTTTTGGAGACTCTTTCTTTTCAAGCGAAGAAAGAAACGGTGAAATGTCGACCTGCTAAAGCTCAAAAGATATAAGATCAAGATCGAAGACTTTCACATATCCTTTTCAGTCCAACATACTGTACAACATGTGTAGATTTGACAGACACAGTATACAATGGGCAAAAAAACTGAAAGCGCGCTTTCTTGTTAGACTTAAAAGTACGGTCTGTTCAATTGCACAAAATTTTTTTGTTTCTGTACTGCTAGAATTTGTTGGAAATTCACATAGGGAAATTTTATAAAAACTAGCAGCCACAAGTGAAAAATAAAAACCCGTTTTGAAACAAGCTCGTATAATTTAAAATTGAACCCATCAGTCGGGTTGTAAAAAAGTTTTCTTTATGTCGACGGAAAAAAAATACGCTAACTGTTTTATCCGAAAATATAGTCGCTCTTAGACTGATAGTTTTCTGAAAACACTAATTCCTAAAAAAACTTTTATAACAGTGCTTTCAATTTTGGTACTTTCAGTTTTGTAAAGCACATGAATTGAAAAGAACGCATCTGGAAACTTACAGAAGAATGCTATTGATAGACTTTTATATTGGTTGTATAATAGATAAACCATACTTAGATGAAATTGTTCACTATGTCGGATGTGACATGATACATCACTTTTCGCTGGAATAGAAGACTTTTCGTTTCAAAACTAGGTTTTTCTCTGTTTTATTCATTCAGCGATAACTAGTACTGCTACAACGGCTACAACTACGACATCTGCAACAACAACGACAACGAGTAAGTGCAGTCGTGAAGCAGAGAACAGACTTAACTATGTAGAACTAATAGACTATGAGGTTTACGTTTAACTTTTTATCCAATTCTTTATGGAATATTTGGGATCAAGTCTATAAGTTGTATATTCATATTGATAATTTATCCGCCTCTCCTTTAGGCACAACCACGACTACGACAACTACTAAAAGCAGAACCAGTTCAAATATGTTCATCATCATGTATAAGTACAACAATTGTGAATACATCATGAATGCATTTTATACATTTGATTCTGTATTAACTGATTCAAGTGGTAATAATAATACAGTTAATGGATCGTATAATTCATTTGTTACTACTGAATATGTTAATAAGACCGTTAGTTTTCTGTACAATAATTCACAATATTTAACATCTATTTCAATTATTAATTTATATCAGCAATCGTTTACTGTAAAATTTTGGTTTTATTGGACAGCAAAATCAGCTTTGGATTATTGTTTGTTTGGTCAATATCTGTCATCGAGTACAGATCAATGTCTGTTCATAAATATACGTAATCGTGTTTTATGTTTTGGATTTTATGCAGATGATACACCAGGTAATATAATAATTGTATTAAATAAATGGTACCATGCAGCATTTGTTTATGACTATACGAATCGACGAAGATGTATTTATTTAGATGGATAAGTCACAAGAGAGTGAAATTTAGTGCTAATTAAAGGGATTGTCACATTAGAAGACCCTCACAAAATAGAAGACCCCCATTTCTAAGATTTTTTAGAAAAGAACGTCAGTTGTACTGACAACAAAACGATATTTTGGGTGAAACGTTTTTTTGGGACACAACACAAGACCCTTCTGAAATCTTTAACACTCAGGATAGCTTAGAAGACCGGGATCTTCTAATGCGACAATCCCTTTAGATGAATGAGTGCCGTAAACCGGTTTTTCTCTGTTTTATTCATTCAGCGACAACTAGTACTGCTACAACGACTACAGCTACAACATCTGCAACAACAACGACGAGTAAGTACAGTCGTGTAGCAGAGAACAGACTTAACTAATAGATTATGACATCTATGACGTTTAACAAATCATTTTGTCTTTTATATTCAGCAACTAGAAAAACTCTTTTTGACTACCATGACTTTCCGGCTTTCTCTTCGAGTCATGATAGTCAGAGATAATGTGTGTTTAAATGGGTAAAACACATAATGAAGTAGAAATCATTTTCCCGAGGCTTATCTTATTCAAACTTTCTTATAAAAGAGCGATTAGTGAAAAATAATGTCATAAAAAGCATATCGAACTTTGTTGATTTTTTTTAGAGAAGCGGTATTTCTGATTTTTACATATTCGGAATCAGCTTGATCAGTTACCTTGTACGGCGGAAAGATCTCATCAGGGTACACACAAAAAGGGGGGTCTTAGGAGTTCCACTTAGAATACCAGTGTATTCAAACATTGTGAGTAATTTATTGATAAAAAGATAATATTTTCTCAGAAAGAAATGTTTTTTGAAAATAAATATTTCTCAACCAGGTGCACCATCACATGCAGTAAAAAGATTCAAATATATTCATAATTAACTGTTAAACTGTAGCTTATTTGATAAATTTTCAATAATTTAATACAATTTTTAAGACCATAGTGCACAAAATTGATAAAAGTGATATTCCAGCTTCTTTGAAAGCTAATGGTATGAGATATTTTCCATGACCATCAAAACATTGCACAGATCTCCTTTTTGGCTTAGTGATATTCTTCTTTAGAAAATAAATCTTATTTGTTATTTCTCTTCATCAAAATAATTAGTCGAAAGTAAATCCTACATATAGCGAAAATTATATTTTTCTTCCTTTTTTGTGAAAAAAACTAATTAACGTAGAAAACAATCAACGGAAATACTTGTATACTCGCCCATATATCTCCTTTTTATATTCTTTGCTGTTGACGATTATCGACAATTAAACACATTACAAAGGGTATTGCTAAAAGACGCGAACACCCACGAACACCCAAATTAAAAACTGAGTTAGCCAATCGATAGAGGTCGTCGAGCTGAGTATAGCAACGCCTAACGAACACCCAAAAAAGTTTTTATAGTTTCGCCTTTTAAGTATACATTTTGAATGAACATCCACGAACATCCACGAACACCCACGAACACAAAGAAGAAAGGGTAAGAATACCCAAAAAAGTGCGCCAAATTCATCTTCAGATTATTGTGGGCTGAGAGTGAGATGTGGGTGACCCTACCAGTACCTCACCCTCACCCCCACACCCACACCACACCCTCAACCCAGAATAATCTGAAGATGAATTTGGCGCACTTTTTTGGGTATTCTTACCCTTTCTTCTTTGTGTTCGTGGGTGTTCATTCAAAATGTATGCTTAAAAAGCGAAACTATAAAAACTTTTTTGGGTGTTCGTTAGGCGTTGCTATACTCAGCTCGACGAGCTCTATCGATTGGCTAACTCAGATTTTAATTTGTGGGTGTTCGTGGGTGTTTGTGAGTGTTCGCGTCTTTTAGCAATACCCCATTACAAAGCTGGTCAGCATCGATCTAAAATTGAACAAAAATGTGAAATCGTTTACTAAAATTCTGAAACATACAACGCATTAGAAAATGTAGCATCCATTATCGTCTTCTTTCTATAAATTTCATAGTTCGCCTTTTCAATTCAAAGTTAATCATGTACTTATTATCTACATTGCTCAGCCAACACAATAATCTAATATGATAAAACACTTTACATATTCTTGTGTATCTACTATTGCATCAGAACGAACATTAGGCGAGTCGGGAGCAATAGAACATGCCATAAACATGAGTAGTTAATATATTGAAACAATAAAGTTTAAAGGTTTAAAGAGAACTTTGCATGCTGTATTAGCTCAAACCTTCCTAATGTCCGTTTGGTTGAATGGGTGATGAGCACGGCTAGGATGGCGACATTAAAATCGTTCTACCGATAAAACGATATCATGATAAGGAATTATTACTCTTTCAAGAGTCCAATGAGTATAAATAATCCATGTTTTTAGGTGAAAAAATGATGTCTTAATGAAAACAAGATAAAAAATTATTCAGACGCATGTGCAGAAGAGCAACGTAACTATGAAAAAATTGAGATTAGAAGAGATTTTTTTTCATTAATCTTAAACAATATGAGTTCACGATCAAACGTTTGACACAGAAGAGAATCAATCGTATTTTTATTAGTCGGACCTTATGACATAGGATCAATATTACACAATAAGAAGAACGTAGAGTGATCTTCTTTCTTCTTAAGAAATACAAGTACATTATTAATCTCAAATAAATATTTCAACAAAAAATCCTAAAAATAAAATTTATTTATGTTGAATAATTGTTAACGTAATCACAACTCTATAAATTCTTTTTTCTGCTCTACATAACTGAGTATCAGTTGACATCTTTAAAATTCTATAATTAGAAGAAAAATATCATACGTAGAATAGATGTCGAACTTTGAATATTTGCTATATTTCCGATTGACTTTTTTAAACTCTTTTACAGAAACATTCAACAAGTAAAAAAACAGAAGACATTGAAAATTTTCGTTGTTTTCTAATAATTAAGACTGCGGTGATAATAATGAAACTTTTTTGATGTATATGCGTAAGAATACTAATTCAAAATTATAATAACAGCAAAACAAATTGAAAAGCAAATAATTTCACGCGAGTTTAACTATTATTAATTATTTACCTTGTGCTAATATGTATACTTCGACATAAGTCAAATAAATTATTTATGTAACATCACATCATCAGGTAAACATTTTTTTGAGAATACTAAGAAATTCATTAGTATTTTATCATCTAGTAGCGTTATTTTCTGAGATCAGAAGTGTAAATAATATTCTATATTCTACTCTATGCTAATCGCGTAGGATATGATATGACGCATACTTCTACGTACGATGTTGATTATAATATCTATCGACAATAGATATAGAAAAACTTAATTCATTATGTCCTTCTACTAATACTCATAGCATTTGTTTGTATTATTAGCAATACACATCATACTAATACAACAGATATGAAATTCAAAAATGTTCATGCCTAACTATCACGCGATTTATCTTCCGAAAATCGCAAATATTTAATTAATTGTATGACATTTTAAACATAATTTGTTAAATTTACAACATACATACATACACACACATCTAGAACAACACCAACATTCTAACAACCTAGAATATGTGACTCAGAGGTGTTCTTGCTTCAGTACAAAAGATGTTTGAACATAAAGTACTGCTTTAAGGCATTTATTCGAAGGTATCCAGTTTTATAACTTTACCAAACACGTCCATGTATACACCTTAGTATCTCGGGCGATTTTTCTTGATTTTTTTGTTAATTATCAAAGCAAAACGAAGAACATTTAACAATAACTTGACTTGGAACATTCTAGTACTTTGAACTAATAGTTATATGAAGAAAACATTGTATACGGTAAGAATAATTTACTAGGATATAAATTCATTAATAAGGGTATAAGTTGATGCTTTTCTCTTTACTATACTCACTGCAGTCAAATTTCACTATAGGAAACATCTTTACAACTAGAATTTTGTTTAATATTATTAGAATTACTAATATTCTGTAAAAAAACATTAACGGTTCTTCTCCTTTTGTTTCCGGAATCATGTCTAATCAAAATGTAAGTTCAATGGTCTTAGATGATGCCAATGAATCAGCTGTATCTAATAGACCAAATGAATCTTTTGCATCATCTGTTATTCGTCCTATTAAACATAAAATAATTCGTACATATCCCGACAATTTTGAATTGCAATCAACTACAAAACATCGACATCATCATCGGCGACATCATGGATTTTCAACATTTCCGTGGCATAAAAAACAGCAACATGAATCAAATTCATTAGCAAATATCAAACAATATCCATTACCTCAATCAATTATTAAACAACAACAACCTATATCCGAACTCTCAAGATCCATTTCAAAGAAATCTGTTACATTTGCATCAGTATTTGACCTAACTGATAATAATTATAACGATGAACTTAAACAAACAGAATTGACGTTCGATACCAACTTGCCGGGGTATATTGAGGATACTGAGCATGTACAAGTGAGTTTTATTGCATTGATACACCCTCCAACTAATTTCAAATGCATAATTACCACTTTCTCAATTTAGATTTTGGAACCAAAATTTGAATTGATTGCTAGTACTCTCGATGATGAAGAAATGCAAATCACAGAAGATAAACCAATAAATGAAGAGTCACAAGAGGAAAGATCAGTGCATATTCCGGATATTATTACTCAGCACCAAACTGTGAAGGATGAAGATAATGAAAAAAACACAACCGATGGTATTTCATCAGTTAATGTCGTCTATTTTGAAACATTCATAAACAAAAATGAAGACGTAAGTAAATAAATAGGCAACTAAAAATTGTTCAACCCAATTCCAAACTCTTCCTGAAAATGGTCAAAATTTCATATCAAAAGACACTTTCCTTCAGAAATACGATAGTATAATCTCATCAAATGTGATAAACATGCAAAAAACATAATATACAGCTCTTGTTAACTTATCGAATATTATGCGTTTCAGGATGACAACGAAATCGATAATAATCAGCATCAATTAAACACATCCAATTATCCATTTCGATCTACAATCTCATCACCACCTGTCAACGGCTATCCTACAGACACTCAACCAAGAGAAAAAAAGAGAAAGTTTAATTTAATTCAACAAATGTACCATGCAATTCATCCACATCCACAACGTTTACATCATCCAGTGCCAATATCAAAATCAATAATACAAAAATATTCCTCTTCATGCCCAGCCCTTGCGTCATTTCAAGAAGTAGATACCACAAACCATAAACCCGTTTCATCTTGGTTAAAAACAAGTAAAATCGGTCGAATGATCAACAACATGCAGCAAGCATTTGCAAAAAATAATAGCAAATTAAAAAACAGAAAGAAATTCAAAGTGAAACATCCAACGAACAATGTAATTAAAGATGAGTTAACGGCTGTTTATTAACAAAATTTACCTGTTTCAGTTTAATAGGTGAAACCTAATGTTTATGTTTAACTTTTTTTAAACATTTTTTTAAATTACATCAGTTTTTCTTGAAGATGCTATCTGACTTTAATGCCTTTTTTTATATTCCATTTTAATATTCCATTTTTCTTATGGAAACAAATATAATCAATCATTCAGAATTCTATATTATCATAACAGGTGAAAGAGAAAGATAAGAATCATGTACCATTAGAAAGTAAAATAAATTGATGAGATTCAATTAAAAGATAATTTTTTTATGTAGTCAGGAAAAAAGCGCGAAAGTAACGGTGGCGTCAAGCTAGCGATATTCGTTGTTTGATAAAAAATTAAGCTTGTCGATCAATTCTGCTATGCTGCAACATTTACTTCTGCAACAAAGAAAAAAAACTATATGAGAAATGTTTTATATTTTTTCTGATTTTGCACTTGATAGTTTTATAATTACAGAAGCTTCAGGTATATAACAATCTTTCAAAATAACAAAATATTTGTTAAAGCTGTCCATTTATGAACATCGTTCTATTATTTAGTTTCAAATTGTTGACTATAAACTACAACATTTATAATTAATAATTGTGGATGGTTGTATACTGCTTTGGAACAATATTTCTGCAACAATATGTTATCTGAAAAAAATAAATACAAGAGATAGGTACGAGAGTGTTTTAACAAAAAATATGACTCATAGTTAAGAATAAGGACTTTGGACTACTTGTATCTTCGCTTTTTTGTCTTTATTTTCACAGATGACCATCTCTGACTCACAAAAACGTATCATTAGTAATAAAGCGTGAAACATTATTACATAATTAAATCATCATATCATGATTCAGAAGAAGGCTTACTTTGTTCTTATGATTCTAATTTATAATAGAAAATGAATGCAAGTTTATATTATTGATTATTCCGGATCGATCTTTTATACGCAGCCTCGGATATGAGGGTCAGATCTTTGATGCGATTTAATTCATAGAATATTTCAAAAATTGTGATCCGACCAATCCATGGAACCTCATGAATTTGCCTGTATTTCATCACCTGTAGTCACTACAGGGCGATGGATACCCTAGAGGATGTCCAGTTTGTCAGGTCTTGAAAACAGAATGAAGACTTATTTACTGACAGGTGTCTGTTTTCTGGGTTTTTTCTTGTTCTCCAAGGTGAGAACAAGTCATAAGATCAGATCAAGATAGTCTGTTTTTTCTACTGATCAGACAAACAGTAAATATTGGTCTGATCTTGACTTTTTTTGTCTAGTCTTGGTATTTTCTGAGAAACAGACGCTGGTCAGGTTCGAGATCAGAGCTAGATTTTTTTAAAATAATCACCATTTTGTTTTGCTAAGTCATGGAGCATATAGTGACCACTAATTCTTCGAAAAATTTCTAAGTTAGAAAAACTAAGGTGATAAGTAATGTTTTAGAGATTTAGAGGGGAATGTCTCCAGAGAGTCTCTAGAAACTTTCTGAGTTTATACTGATTTTTGAACAGTATAGACGTGACTTTTTTACTTTCAGGTGTCTGATCAGACAAACTGGATATCCTCTAGGAATCATTGCACGATAGCAGAGACCTAGTGTGCTCAATTTCTTTTTTTTAAATTTAATTCTGATTCCGCTAGTTTGTAGCTCTACTAAGGTTGAGTATATTCTGAAATTTTTTAACCTTTAGCGGTGTTTTTTTTTTT